TCGGAATATCGATTATTGCACAATTTAATTATAGGTTACCGACTATCGAGCACGTTTAACGTTTTTAATAAATTAATAACATTTATAAATAACAATTTTATATTATTTTGCCGTGGATTTAGCGTTAATTTTTGTATTAATTTTAAGTTAAAATATTATTTTAAGTGAAAATTAATAAGGCACTTTTTTTCAAAAATCCTTTAGCAATATATGTGAAAATAAGCTCAGCACTAAAAGGGTTAAGCATTGACACCTCTATCGCAAGAGAACGTTACGTATTGTAAGAACAGAATCATAAATTCTACACTGAAACTTTTGTTTCTTTTTGTAACGTTATTCCAAAATTATATTTTGCCATTCGTCCGCGGCTTATGCACCAATTTACAGTAAAGATAATAATAATAATAATAATAGTGTGTGGTGGCTTGTGTCGTAGACACCGCCATCAGCGGCAATCTATTTTTATATAGTGTTTTTTAAAAATTGTATTTTTAATATATTTTTTAAAAAATATTATGTAATTAATAAGATTTTAAATAAATATAAATAAATAATAGTGTAATGTAAAACTTCCAGAAAACATGACACGAGCCGCATCCGAGTCGAAGCTGATGCCAAAACCGGCCAAAATAGGCAGGCGGATATCAGTTGACATTGGTAAGCATTTTTTTTTGACGTGATAATGAAGTGAAATCGATGAACACCGGCTGCACGCACGAAAAAATGTCACGTTCCGCCTGGGCGTGCAAGCTAGAGCACGGAACAAGCGATAGAGAGGCACGATCGGCCGAAGCGCTAATAATTTACCACCGCCCTGCCTATTTCTGCCGTGAAGCAGTAATGCGTTTCGGTCTGAAGGGTAGGGCAGCTGTTGTAACTATACTGAGATCTTAGAACTTATATCTCAAAGTGGGTGGCGCATTTACGTTGTAGATGTCTAAGGACTCCAGTAACCACTTAACACTAGGTGGACTGTGAGCTCGTCCACGCATCGAAGAATTAAAAAAAAAAAATTTGTTAAGCATTGTAATTTTCAATTAGCTCCTTCTATGTATTTATGATACAAAATAATGATAATCCAGTGATAATATTTCTATTTAATTCATAAAGGTATGCAATTTTTCATCAATGTTTCTTTATGATGTTATCACGTAAATCTATCGTCCGTAAACCAACTTTACAGATAACTATTTTTCACTAAAACGCGAACCGCTTATATTTGAGAACTTTATTAGTCGATTCAAATAATTGATCAACACTGATCGATTGATTATTGTATTTACTTTTTTTTAATAATTTATATACGGCCATTGGCTACAAGACCTTATAGCCTAACTGAAATGTAGTTTCTACGTACGTAAAAATTTATAATATTCTGTCATATGAAGCGAAATGAGATAAAGTTGATTAATCTGATTCTTTCAGACCAAAATTAAATGTAACGAGATGAGTTGAGACTACATAAAGTCTCAGTAAAATGGTGGTTATTTATTCAGCCTTTTTCAATTTATATTTTGGTACAACCATCGAAGCTACGTTCAGAGGCTTTGTTTCATTTACCCACATTTGTGTCATTTTCATAGATGCTAAATTATTAACAATTATTTGAACATTGAAATCCGAAGATACGCCCGATGATACATTTAACATAATAAAACAATTCACAATTAAACTTCGCCCTTCGCATTTGCGCCAAAAACTCTCGTTTGTAATTATGTTATCCAAGTATTTCCGTCGTAATTAAGTACTAATCACTCAATTGCAGATAACAACTCAGAGTTGGGTTCCCCGGTAGCGTCGGTCAGCGGCAGTCCGGCCCGGGGACGTCGGGCTTCGTTTGCCCGGGCCTGCGAAGCTCTCCTCACTCCCAAGGGCAGACGGGCATCCACCGACGTTAAGGTAAACTTCCCTGTGAGGATAAACGTAACCTTCAGTATACAAAATACGAAATTTGAATATTTTTTTTCACAACACTGTTTCAGGTCTCGACAAGAACATTTGAATTTAGAACAAAACAATTTGCTAGGGCCAGTTTTCGCAAAACCTTCGATTTGAGCCCCGAGAGCTCCTACGAGACCTACACGTTAGGGTAAAGCTAAAATAGCCTCTCAAGGCTATCAAAAGTAGGAAAAAAAAGATCGATGACGCAATTGTAAACAATAATTGCCCAATTCGTTCGCTGAAATAGTTTTGATTAATTAAATCTAATTCAAGTATGTCAATTTTCCCTTAAGATTTTTTTTTTAAACTGGGATTACCTTATTTTTTCCTGTTAATTTGAATAACAATAATGATAAATTCGAAGTACTGAATCTAATGTAAAATTCGCATACTAATCTAGAAAACAATTTTTTTCTGTTGAACGGTCACAATGTAAACTCTGTTGTTGTTTTTATTGAACGGGTTCTTCTCGAATTCTTATTTTTTTGAACCTCAATACATGCGCCTAGACTGAAGACTGCGGGTAGGATGTTAAGTGCATACAAGTATTTCTTCCCTCTTTCTAGCCCGTTTTTGTGTGTTACCACTGGAATTCGATGGCTCGCCCCAATTTTTCTTGATTTAATATTGTATTAAATTTTTTCTCTCTTTCTCTATAAATATATGGGTAAATGTTTATAATCTAAAAAACCTCCGCGAAAACTTAACATAATTTTGAAACCGTCACAAAGTCTATCACAATTCCTAAGAGCTATTTCGAATGTTTGTTTTGTATTATCATGAAAAATATTTTCCCGTTTCTCAGAAAGGAGACGAGAGTCCTGAAGCGTCTCCAGCTCCTTCAGAAGGCGAGGCAGCAGCGGCGAGCCGGCGGCCGCGACGAGCCTCCACGCACTCCAACACCAGCGCCACTAAAACTGAAACTAGCAAAAGGTACGGTCCGTTTTTAATACGCTTTCATTAGCTTCAGACGTACTGTGTGCGCGCGAGTTCCTGTCCATCGGGGCCAGAGGGGACGCGCGGGGGACAGCTCGCCCCACCTTCACCCACCTCCCTGCATTTGTCTGACATCGAGTGTTGTCCTTGACGGTTGTGACGTGCGCTTATCGATACTCAAAATTTACGCTAACGTTATTGTGTTATTTCATGGTGAATAAACCATGACTACTCCGCTTCCAACAAGTTCAGGTAGAAAAAAACCTATACTGATTCGGGCTCTGATCTGTCGGTTGTCTTTCCATCTGATAGTAATTGAATTGGAATAAAAAAAATATTTTTCTCTATTAGAAATAAATAAGTAATTACTTGTCACATTTATTTTATAATTTGCAAAATGACCTAGTTACATTAAACCAAATTTACATCTGTTAACTAAATCGGTAGTTGTTATCGACATTACCATCATTAACTAGGTCACAGCACTACCGCATTCCTCAGGATGGACATGAACTCGCGCGCCTGCTGTAATTAGTATGTAACGGAATCTTTGAACATGATTTTGACCCCCTTCAAAACGTCGAATTAACTCGAAATTTGGTATACTTATTAAGGACCGATGACAATTATATATAAAAAAATATTGAAAATTTTTAAATTGAACTGAAAAATGAAAAATAAATAATAGTTTAAAAAAAGTAACAAAATACGATTTTATAGAAAATTCAACCTAAAAATAGATAATAAATTTTAATGAATCTGAATTAAAAATAGTATAAGAAAAAATGATTTTATTGTAAAAAAAATGGGGTGTATGGTATCACTACTTATAAATATTTTATGAACAGATAAGAGGAGAAGGGTTATTTTGATAATATCCTGAAAAGTACCTCACGCTTATTTTTTTACAATAAAATATTTTTTTCTTACAATAATTTCAATTAAATTTATCAAAATTTATTTAATTTTGATGTCACATCTCTGATCTGGGAACATCAAAGTTTAAGAAAAAATATAATTTTCGCCTTCAGCTTGGCTGGCTACTATTGAAGTGAGTTTTGTTTAGTTTTAAAACCATAGCTATTTTTATTTTGGACTAGTATTTATTTCCAAGTGAATCGACCTTTAAATTTTATTGCAGACTATAAAACTAATTACTGTAATCTCTTTCCTTTTCAGATCAAAAAGACAACAAAATTAGATTAAAATAAGAATTAAACGCGATAATCTAATAAGTATTTTTTTTATTTAGTAAATACATCTAGGCTTTTCGGTTTTGTTTTTTGCATTTACAATAAATAAATATGATAAGAATAAAACTTGTTTTTTTTTTGTCTTCAGTTTCAGTGAGAAAAATGCCATATTACTTCACCAGAGTAGCTGAAAAAGTAAACCTATAGTTTAGTAGCTACAGGATATACACTTCCCAATGTGAATTCTTAATAGCTTTCAAAAACTTGCTTCGAAAAAACGAACGCAATTCTGATATTTACAAAAACCACTTTGAATTCTTAAGACATTAACAGAAACTGCATATAAAATATATATATGTGCTCACTGGTGGTAGCACCTCTTGGGAGTCCGCACGGGTAGGTACCACCACCCCGCCTATTTCCACCGTGAAGCAGTAATGCGTTTCGGTTTGAAGGGCGGGGCACCCGTTGTAACTATACTGAGACCTTAGAACTTATATCTCAAGATGGATGGCGCATTTACGTTGTAGATGTCTATGGGCTCCAGTAACCACTTAACATCAGGTGGGCTGTGAGCTCGTCCATCCATCTAAGCAATAAAAAAAATATATATATTTTTCTAATACATGTATATAATAATAAAACTTATTATAGCTTTTAAATGTCGCTTCTGATGTGTTTAAAGAGAAACACAATTGAGTCTTTGTTCACGATACCAAATCAGTCAAACCATTCATTATGCGCATGCATGAAAAACTATGCATAGTAATTTAAAAAAAACAATGAAGTTTTAAGTTAAAATATTTCTTTATTTTCGTTTATTTAATCAGTTCAGTCGTTAATCACGAGATTTTCGCTACACAGTTACACACTACCATATCTCTATCAATACTGCAACACCGTTCTTATTACATATTAAATAAAACATTTTTTTAATTAATTTTAAAAAGTATTAAACGCATGGAACATAATAGAGATCAGAGATTAATTTAAAAATATATAATATAAAATAATCCATCAAGATTATTATCATTTCAAGAATACAGAAAAAGAGTATTATTTTTATGTTTGATAAGATTTATATAATTAATTTTGACTTTTCGGATATAAGAGATGTTTAAAAACCTAAAAATACTATCCAAATTTTCGAAAGGCTCATCGCCTAAATTATCAGTCAAACTGAAGTGAAAATTTGGTTATTTTTAAATTTATAACGATTGACATAATTTCTATCTATAACATCATCTGATAAATAAAATTCTGACAGACAGAATTGGCTGGTTAGAAGACTTTGACCCAAACTTTATTATTAAAATACTAAAAACCAGCCCAAGCATTGTCTATTTTGACTTTCAATAAGAATCTTCAATAAAATTCAAATTGAAAGAAACTCATTTAAATTAATGTTAGTTTCAATAAATTGATTAAAAGGACCTTTTAGTGTACAGTAGTGGACTTTACTTTTAGTATTGTATATACATTATAATTTAATATACAGACAAAAGTAATAATGAAAATGTTGATATCACACAGAATGCGGCTTAGCAAAATGATATCTATCTAATGGTACAACAGGCTAGAACTACAAACGAAACACTAATCGTAACATAATTTTAGTAATAAATAAATGCATCGAAACGTTTGGATGAAGTTAATTAAAAAATAATTGTCACATTTCTATTGGCAAGATTTTATAATTTATTTTAAATTAGTTGTATGTATCGCTATGTAACCGGTTTCCTGTATTGTCTTAAATCAGTTGACATTGACATTGAAATCAGAATAACTCCATCCAAAACTTAATCTCGAAATAACGAACACAACTTTAACTATCTCTCTTTCATCTCCTTCGTTCTCTCGTCGTATATTTTCAAGGACCTTCCGACGCGTAAAACGTTTTCGTCGATAGGTATACGTTTAACGAAAGCGTCGTTCAAATCCACTTCGGGTAAAATTACGTCTTTGTTATTTGGATATCCAATTAAATTTTCACATATCCTTCTGTCCTCCACTCGCAAAGTGGCTTTATTCGAACAGTCTATAGTTTGCCTCTTCTGTCGTATCGGAACGAGATTGAGGTTTTGTTGGTCAACAATATCATTACTGAGTTTCTCTACATTTTTCTTTGGTACGCCATTGTTGATTTCATTCTTTAACTGTTTGTCGTTCATCGCTAGAGCCAATGGTACGTTTTGCATTACGTTTTTATTATCCATTCCTTGTTTGTACGACTGAGGCACATCTGGTGAATCCGAGTTTAGTGTTCGTATATTTTTTTGAACACTAGCTTCTTGGAGTTTTTTTATTTCGGTATCATCTATGTTTTGTTTCTGTGTTTCTTTGTTGACGTCGCCTTGACCGACTTGCGGTGGTGATTCTTGTTTAACTGCGGATCGAACGTTAACGGGCAACGGTCTGTTGAAGTTGTTCAATTCATTGACAATCGGTTCCGGAATCCGGGAGATTTCTTTCAATTTTCCGATATCTGCGTTGGCATTATTGGAAGGATTAGCGTTTTGTGCATTTTGTTGTATATGTTCAGATTTAACATTGTCGGCTACATTTCGTATGTTCTTTGGTTGCTCTGGTTTAATAACTTCCTCGATAGCTTTAATGGCTTCAGCTGCTCTTTGATCTATTTGTTGTTTAGCTTCGTTTGGCGACTCCTCAGCGTTCTGTAGAGCGGCGTGCGTCTCGGGGATACCAGCCGGACGTCCTGGAGGTACATCCGCTATCCCTTTCACTTCCGACAACTTTATATCATCATTGCTGTTTTCTTTCTCTTCCTTCTTGTTCTTCAGTAACTCATCTATAATTTCCTTCTGCTCCTGAACTAGTTCTTTTTGTTCTTCGCCGTGCTTCTTGATTGTTTCGATGAGTTTCTGTTGTTTCAGTATGCGCAATCTATCTTCGTTTTCGTTCATCTGTTTAGGTTCTTCTATTTTATTAACAATTTCTTCTTTCATACCATTACCGTCGACCACGGCTTTGACTTCGTTCAGTTTGGATTTTACGTCTTTGGGATGTAGTTCCGGTTCTTTATCGCCGTTCGCTTTGATCACATCGGACACAGCTTCTTTGACTTTTTTGTTTTCAATTAAAGCTATATCTGGGATTTTTTCTTTGGATGAGTCTGGAGGTACTGGGTTAGGGGGTTGAACCTCCGATTCCCTTATTATGTTACTTTCGATTATTTTTTGTGCGTCATCTGGAAGAATCTCTCCCTCGGCGACCGGAATTATTTCTGTAATATAAATTTATTTTATAACAAAAAACTAGTATCATAACTAGAATCAAGTTCTTACGTTTGAATCTTTATACTCGTAATAGAAAAAATATTTTGTGGTAACTATTTAAATCCAAAATTAAGCACTTGTTTTTATCAACTCACTCTCCAATTTCTCTCTCTTCTGGAAGAAATCCTCAACCATTTTATCAATCTTTTCTTGTGTGATGTATTTCTCGTCGTATCTTTCGTGTTTGCCTTCAGCGGCTTGCAAGTTAGCGTATGTCCCGAGTACCATTATAATTAATCCAAGGACGATAATGCCCTAAAAGATTTCAAAATTGTTTGAAATATATCATTCTTACAACTTTTATATCTTTATTAGCAACAGTTGAAATCCAACATGCAAGTAATAATATATTGGGAAACTTTCGAAATTTTAGTGCAAAACTACATATTACTATGATTAACATTGTAGACAAAACTAAAGTCATCGTGGCGTCAAGGATAAGATGTCCGGTGCATTCGTACGCATGTTCGTTTTTCTAATGAAATACGTACTTGACAAATGTTCACGATTGACTTCCACGGCGAAGGAATAACATTGTGTAAAAAAAAATCAAGTCCACAAAATCATAATTTGCGTAATTACTGGTGGTAGGTCCTCTTGTGAGCCCGCACGGGTAGGTATCACCACCCCGTTTAATTTTGCCGTGAAGCAGTATTGTGATTCGGTTTGAAGGGTGGGGCAGCCCTTTTAACTATACTCATATCTCAAGGGGGCAGCGGTATTTACGTTGTAGATTTCTATGGGCCCCGGTAACCACTTAACACCAAGTGGGCCGTGAGCTATCGATCTTATTAGTTTGTCATCATTTAGTCGGTCGATTTAAAATTTTTGACGTGTTTTCACATGCAACAAATATTTAAACTGAGCATCAGTTTCTAGGAGATTCACAACAATGGATTCTAATATTCACCTTGGCCAGGATCCTCTCGTTCGTATTCTTGAAGGTGACGTTGACGAAGCAAGCGGCCGGGAACACCACGCAGACCAGCACGCCGATGGTGGAGCCCGCCAGCCCCAGCACCAGCTCGATGTTGGGGACCAGCAGACCCACGACCAGAGCCACGCCTATAATGCCCACCGTTATGCATCGGAACGTGGTCTGCGGGATCGAATGGTTGATCATGTGGTCGTGGTGGGACGAGTGGACCTGGAAACAATATTTCTTCTTCGATGTGCGATTTCGATACGACAAAATCACCTTTTTGAAATTGCCGCGCAAATTTTACCAGACTGACGTAATTTGAGGTAAAAATAATGACAGATCACACATGGATCACACAAGATATAACTGAAAGGGAAAACTTCGAGTGAGTTAAAGTACGGATTATTATTTTAAATGTAATTAAATAAAACCCCTTTACTAAATGGTTTTTGCAAACCAATAATTTACGCCCCGCCTATTTCTGCCGTGAAGCAATAAATGCGTTTCGGTTTGAAGGGTGGGGCAGCCGTTGTAACTATACTGAGACCTTAAAACTCATATCTCAAGGTGAGTGCCGCATTTACGTTGTAGATGTCTATGGGCTCCAGTAACCACTTAACATCAGGTGGGCTGTGAGCTCGTCCACCCAAATAAGCAATAAAAAAACTTACCTTTTTGTACAGGAACGAATAGAGGCTCGCCCGACACGGGAATATGATCAGCGGGAAACTGAACGCGAGCGACATCACGAACCCGAGCTTGATGACGTCACTCGCCATCGTCGGACTTAGGCTCATCAAGATGTTACCTGCAACGAGAGCATCCGTGAGCCCCGCCAGCCTCCGGGACGCAGCGCTGTTCTCCCACCCCCCAACCCCCCTCATTATAAAAGGGCGTACAATAAGACATACTTTAGTCTAAAGTATGTGACCTGTTCGAAGCGTCCGTTGCCAGTCCGGTAAGACGGCCTATATCTATTTATTAATACGTGAAGCAAAAACTTTGTACCCGTTTTTACGAAAATTGCCCGAACGGAGGAGTATGAAATTTTCCGCACTTAAGAGAATATAGAGAAGGAGTGCAGAACGTTAATATTTTTTTAATTATGCGTAAAAAATACATTAAATCAATAAAAAAACATTACACACAGCCATGTATTTGACGCACACATCAATGCTAACTATTTGTTCAATGTCAAGCTTTTGTTATTGCTTATAGTCTGTGGTCAAATTAATAATAGATTAAATATTGTTTGTCTTTATTAATATTTCTCTTCTCTGTTATCTTGGCGAAATCTGTGATTATAGAAGTATAATAGTCTTTAATATTAGAATCATAATAGTGTACAAACTTATAATTTCAATTAATTATAGTCGAATTCCGACTACTGGGGCCACTAGTTTGTCTTAATAGATCAACGATTTCCATGACATTATTATAACTATTAAAACTGAAACCTTAGAACTCATATCTTAAGGTGGGTGGCGGCATTTACGTTGTAGATGTCTATGGGCTCCGGTAACCATTTTACATCAGATGTGCCGTGCCGTGAGCTCGTGCACCCACCTAAGCGAGAAAATAAAATAAAAACGTGTAATGAAAATTACGAGGTCACATTTTTAAATTCACTTCATTACTAGTGGGTAGGACGTCTTAGAAGTTCGCACGGGTAGGTACCACCACCCTGCCTATTTCTGCCGTGAAGCAGTAATGCGTTTCGGTTTGAAGGGCGGGACCTCCGTTGAACTGTAGAAATGAGATCGTGACGTCATTCAAATTGTCAGATTGCCTACGACACGACATACATTGACGGTTTAGACGTAGACTTACCGGATATATCCTGTGAGCAGAACGCAATGTATCCGAACAGACCTAGAGTGAAATAGACTCCTGTACAAATGTTTATCGCATTCTTTGTAACCAAATTCATCTTCTCTAAGGACAGGGTCGGCAGCGACTCGAATATTTCGAATAGCTGGCTGGAAAAGCGAATATATCATTTATTTTGTACAACACGTCGGGTTTTTTAAACACACATAATACACGATTATAACTTCTTGCCGCTTGTTGATAAGGCTCATTTTGTCTTGACAATGATGTGAGACTGCTAGTTGAAGGTTTACATTATAGTTGGTGGTAACAGTTTTTTTTTCCTACCTAAGCTGGTAGCCTTGAGAGGCTATTCCAGCGTAACCCTAACGTTTGTAGGTGAGCTCACGGGGCTCAAACCTGATGACGTTGCTAACACGAACCCTAGCAAGAGCCGTGCTTCGCAGAATCTACCACCGGATCGGAAACGCGACCCACTGAGAAGATCCGGCGAGAAACTCAGTGCGCTGTGTCTGAGAGTTAATTTACTCGTCGAGCCCTTCGTCGCAAGCGACGGGTTCGACCAGGACGGTGACCGGTGCTTGAAGTACCTAAAAGCACCGTTAGTGGATCGGGAGGATCCGAGATGACGTGTTTTGGGCGACGTCGACTGCTTTCCATTCTGTCCGCAGGATCGGGAATGAGGTTACAGAAGTTATTGACAGTGGCAATGTTAGGGGCACAGGTGAGCGGGTGTTCACCGCTGACTGTTTTATTCACCAATATCGCTCTGTTTTCATCGAACTCTACGAATCCACGTTGTATTTTTATCATTAAGAAATAATCCGTTAGAAATAAACTTAGTTTAACTTAACTCGCAGATCTCTCGGGTAACTTTTGCATTCTGGAACCTTCTAATAATAAATTGAATTACTTACCAAACCTATAGCTGGACTAGCTTAAGGGTCTCAACTGCGCTTCGCTATAGCCTAGCTCTGGTTCTGCAAACGACTTTGAGGTTGGGAAAGCCACCACCACAAGTTCACCAATGCAGTGAACACTCAGACCTCCTAAGGACAGGAGAAGATATCCTATGTGACTCACGTTTGACAAAACAGCGCCATCGAGAATATCGGGACGCACTGAAGCACCCCGGACGGCTTCCACAGCTCCATACGATTCTGTAATTCCTCTTCGAACAACTGTGACGTCGCTTCCGTTATCACCTGCAAGAAACGTGTCCGAGAATGTGCGTCCATGTCAATTACCTTGGCGACACCAACCAACAAACTATGATGTCGTCGCGGCCTATAAGATAGATAGAAGTAAGACTTTGGGTGTATTCTAGTCGATTGCACTGTACCGATTTTGAAATCCCGCGGGTCGATACCAGTTTTTTCAGTTGGTTTATATATTATTTACCCGCCATATTGCACATTTATCGTGAAGCAATTTAGACTTAGACCTTGTAATTCAAAGTGCGAGGTACGTATTAGCATTGTAATGACTACAGGGAATCGTGAGCTCCTTCCTGATCTATGGTAATAAAATAAAAAAATATGTTACGCCATCTGTCATCAAATAGCAGAAACGATTATCAAAAGAACTAGTAATACGGAGAACGCTCGAAAAGTGTAACGCCATCTATTATCACATGGCGGAAACACATATCGAAACGACTCTTCCTATCGGAAATGTTCTCGATAATTGTAGACTTGTCGTGTCGACTATAACAGCGTTGCAAAGATGATATGAAGGCAGTTAGCAAACGGTTCTACTTGAAGAGAAACAAAGAACGGATCACCTGAAGCGAAGCGGAAGAAGTGGATTGAGAATTGTAAAGTGTTCCCTAAGTGTTTTAAGTGTTAAATAGAGTTTCAATTTGTACCTCGGTGAAAGTTTTATTTATCCAATAATCTATACTAATATATAAAATACAGTGGTTTTGACGGATGTTCCGTTATAACTACTGAACCATGCATCCAATTGACTTGAAACTTGGTATCCATGTAGAAAATACATGTACTTAACGGATAGGCTAATATTTATATGAGTGTTGGACTCCCTAATAAAAATGACAATAAATAATAATGTTAATTTTAAATGCCTAGTGAAGCGGGCGAGTGCGGCTAGTATTTATATAAATATAGAGATTAGGACAGTATTACCTTCACGACGAGACAGAGATAGAAGCATATGGTGGCGGCGCTCACGTTACTGAGACTGTCGACGTTACGGAGCAAGCCGAGTGGCAGCACGCACACTAGCGACACCACAACCATTATCGATGTCCTAAAACATTATTTAGGTAAAGCAAACTTTAACAAAACGTAATTGACAGATACGAGTCATTAATTTTCTCGCCGGATCTCCTGGGGATCGCGAATCGAGTTCCGGTGATAGAATCAACGATGCACTGCTCTTGCTAGGGCAGATTTTTGCGAGTTCTCGCAGGCTGAGCTCGAAAATCGACTACCAAATAGTCAATAGTGAAGCCAAGTAGTTCTCCGGAACTACTGGCAATTAGGCAGGCAAAAACATATATTTAATAAACGATATCAGAACCGTCATAGAAATGCAAAATTTGTGTATTTTTTTGTAACACAGATACCTTAAGAATAATTTGAAATATAATAGCGTCTTTATCATATTTTTGAGAATAAAACAGAATAGTGCTTTAAATCTTTTATTAGCTTTGTATGTATGCATTTGTATTTTAGTGGTCGTCGTGGCCTAAGGGATAAGACGTCCGGTGCATTCGTGTTGAACGATTCAACGGTGTTCGAATCTCAGGCGGGTACTAATTTTTCTAATGAAATACGTACTCAACAAATGTTCACGATTGACTTCCACGGTGAAGCAATAACATCATGTAATAAAAATGAAATCCGCAAAATTATAATTTGCGTAATTACTGGTGGTAGGACCTCTTGTGAGTCCGCGCGGGTAGGTACCACCACCCTGCCTATTTCTGCCGTGAAGCAGTAATGCGTTTCGGTTTGAAGGGTCGTAACTATACTTGAGACTTTAGAACTTATATCTCAAGGTGGGCGGCGCATTTACGTCGTAGAAGTCTATGGGCTCCGGTAACCACTTAACACGAGGTGGGCTGTGAGCTCTAAGCCATAAAAAAAAATGTGTGCGTGTACTAGTGTACACACGTAAGAAGTGAAACTTATTTATGGCCTTATTTTTCGAAAAATGATCTACATGCAACTTTCTAGAAATTGGTTAAATAAAGTTAAATTAGATAAAGTTTAAACAAAAGGATTTTATTATCATAGACATGAATACCAAAAAGTTAAATTAGATAAAGTTTAAACAAAAGGTTTTTATTATCATAGACATGAATACAAAACAGATGGCGCGTAACGGAAAAATGTGACGCGTAACCGAAAAATGTGACGGTAAATTTTTTTCCAACGCCGATAAGGAAGTTTCACTTGAAAATATTATAAAATTTTTTCTTTAAACCCCCTTTTACTAGCTTTGTATGTACGTATTTGTGTTTTATATAACAGAATCTATAAACTTCAGTCGACTTCAAGACGTCCGATTAATAAGAAAATTTGCACACGCGTTGTAATTGTGTGGAGATTGATGACGACAATACGATAATTTTATAACTTCACTATAATTACCTGAACATGATAAAAAAAGATGAAAAATTTATTCAACATGTTTTTCGGTTGTTTTTAAGCTAAATATACATATTATTTTTATATATGACATAAATCATACAGTACATAAAGGCTGGTGGTTTTCCTGTGTACAAATGCTGATAAATAAGTTGGAATTTAATGTTATAGCGCTACAGAACCGTGATAATCGTATACTTTTTACTTTACCTCAATATATCGCTTTGATTAACGTTCAACATTTTTGAAATTATCTGCGGCCCTAAATCTCCGACTACCACGAAGTAAGCTATGCACGTTCCCATCAGAAATCCGATAATACCGATTTCAACGGCCATCTTCCCAGCCGGTCCGAATACGTGAAATGCTGTTAATTTAAAGAACAAAAAGCTCATAACCATAATTGTTATTATCAAAACATTTAAATTACTTTGTAAAAATCTGCATGTTCAAAACTTTTTGTTACTGGCAATTTTATAAATTTCGAATGAATTCATTCAAACTCTACAGGAATGTTACAGTCATTAAAAATATCGACGCTTGAAAGGCAAACGTGACTAAGCGACAATGCGTGAACTTTACAGTAGACTAATTTAAAGTTGAAATACCCGAAAAAAAATATATTTTAACAAATCTAGCTGTAGGATTGAAATGATTTTAATAGACCTAGAAATTTTTTTTTTTGCGCATCGAATATGGTTATTGCCTATCATTTATGTACAAAGCAGTTATTGTCGCTTAGTCACGTTTGCCTTTCAAGCGTCGATATGTTTATTAGACGCTGCACTGATGAAGATGCGTTTGTATATGCGGTAAACAAACCAAACTTGGTCAATATTGTTATTTTTAGGCACCATTATGTGAATCTTTTTGCTTTTAAATATCAATAAAGAATGTAAACTTACCTAAAAATTCAAAGTTTCTCCTTCGGGCCAACAAAGCAGATTTCAAAAGGAAATAGCAGCAAAGTCTCGAAACTAAGCCCATGGTTAGCAAGATTAATGTTGCCAGCAATATACCACACTGAAAAAAATTAGAGCACATATTTTAATGAAATATAAATTGTTTTTGAGAATAAATATATTTTTACAATTACTAGGTATGTGTTGTTGATGTTTCAATGAGATTAGTGATGTATTTCTAGAAATGGCTATAGTTATTTATATTACATTCATCCTTTTCTTGACTAATCAAGATTTATATCAGACTACCATAAACTTGTTATTGATTTTAAAATAAAGAAAATGCTAATTAAATATTCTGCTCGAAATCGCTCGACATCCACCTACGTTTTGAGAATAAGGCTGTGTATGTTAGAGTTGATCCAAATAAAAAATATAAATCTTATTTACTGAATACCCTGTGTTCGAGTCTCGGACGAAACATATCTAACCCTAGGCAGACTAGGCTGACTAGGCAAGGGGATATATTTGACATGGAGCCTATTTCTCTTTCCTTATAAATATCTCTCTTTCACTCTGTGCCTGCCAGATCCCATCAGGTCGTCCTAAGCATCATGAGAGCTGGGTTTTTTGGTTCAATTCATATCCGAATGTACTTTTAGTTAATATATTCTTTGTATTTAACAGAAACTAAGTATTATTTATTATACATAATAGCTGAGAGCTATTGCGAATCTTAACTTAGCATTTGAATGTGAAAGCTTCTTTGTGCCACTTTCACTTTTTAAACTCCAATCAAGTAAACAAGATTCCATGCATGTTCACATGTGTGAAGAAAAACGTAAAATTAGAAAAGAATTAATAGTTTTTTTTTTGTTACATGATAAATAGATTAATTATTATCTATAACATTTTAGTGTTAATTAAAAGAGAATATGAGATACTTTTGCTACAAGTTTCCAGAAGAGACTAACAAAATTATATACAAGCAAAATGATCAGGTTTCTCACCGATCTCATGAGAGATACAAAGAATGAGACACTGTACCTGCCAATATGATATATGACAGCAGAGAAGAAAAGAAACTTCTATACAACTAGCCTTAACAGAAAACCAGAAGTTTTTCACCCAAATACTGTATGATAATAAATTTTTATCTTGTGTCATTAGAGTGAAGGTTAATTTTATTGAGTATTGAGTGAAGGTTAATTTTCTTTTCCAAGCTTTAAATTCAGCTTGTTCATTACATTTTATTTTACTTCAGTGTTTATTTTTTCAGAAGATAAGAAAGATAAGCATATTATTATATTATTAACATTTAATCTTTTTGATAATAATCATCATTTATTGCAATATTTTTAAACGTCGTAGTTTTTATTTATTTTATTCAAACGTTGTTGCATGAATTCTATAGCAATCAGTGTGGCACCTCACAGCACCTGTGTAAATATGTTTGGCTCGACCATAAAATCATATTTATCGCAATTGTGGATTCTGATACGAAATAAAAAAGTGTGAGAAGTAAAGTGGACGAAGTAATCGACATTCGCTCTGTTAATCTTTAGATAACACAAGCAAGGTAAACCAAAATTATATTTTTACAATAGACGAAAATTTTATTCAATTTACATTACTTAAGTACCGACTTACCATTGGCTTAACATAATTATTCTATTTATGAATACTATATTATGGTTATAATTTATTTGAGACTTAAATTATTTTATTATCAACAAAAAAACGATTTTATCATAAACTATTTTGATACTTACTTGTTGAAAGCAATACGGCATGGCTAATATGCCAACGCCTATAATGCTATTTGCCAGCGTTATAGATTGTCCAGCGACTCCCATATTTCATATAATATTATTGTTTGTATCTAATATTTTAAATTAATAATGTTCTTTAAAAACAAAAACCTAAGCGCACCTCTCTCTCACATCTCATTGAGATTTGTTTTGTTTGTTATGACAAATGACAAGACAAACGTCAATGACAACGAACGACACGTCAAAGAGTAGTGGAAATTTTGTTTTTCTAAACCAGGAAAGACAAAAGTATCACATCCTACATACTTAATGAAACCATTTCAGTCACATTTAAATATACATTGAATCGAATAAAATAAAATGTTAGCGTCTTAGTCAAATGGTGAAAATTTACTGCGACCTCAAAGGACTTTTCATAAAAACCCGAGAGATATATGATATAAGCCGATTTTGGTTCACATCTGCACACCATGTAATTTCTCTACAACGACTTTGTTTCGTTCCCGTTTCATTTCTCCACACTTGCTCATTTTCACTGATGTTAAATAATAAGTTACAGGTAATATTGAAAGGTGAAGGCTAAATAAAAAAATGCATCACTACACTGCTGCATTCCCACCAAAATTTGCGCAAGCATGTGACGTATTTTGGAAGAGCTGAAGAAGCCAGATCATGTGATTTTAAACAAACGTCTAAGAAAGCAGAAATACTAAATTGACAAAATAAACCAAATGCACTTTTTTGCCTACCTGTCACTAGCTTCGATGGCCTCTTCTGACTTTACTAGGCTGGTCGGCAAGCTGACTAGGCTCAGCATGAAAATTTTCTGACATCTGCTCTTACAAAAGCAGTGCTTCGCTTAATCTACCACTGAATCGGGGTCGCGACTCTCCAAGATCTAACGAAAAATTTAATGGGTCGTGTCTGTTTTATTTGTGCGAGTTTATATGGGTTCCGGTAAGCATTAACATCATATAGGCTGTGAGCTTGTTGACCCAATGCAATAATTAGATCAATAAAAAACATAATATCTCCACGTATACCTTATGTAAAAATAAAACCACTTTGCTATTTGTTAAAACTATGCATTTATTTTATTTTTTACTCTTTGGTACTTCGGATCAGTGTTCAACAAAATGTATTTCACAAGCATTTAATAATCATTTGTTAAATGTGATAAATGTGTATTTTTTTTTTTATTGTTATTGAACACTGGTCGTAAGTTGCACAAATGTTTGGAATAATATATGTAATAATATGTACGCGCCCTAAAATATCTTCTCTCTTTGGTTTAATTTATTTCGAATTTTGCGGACACAGAAGCATTCGATATTTTTGTAAGCATGAATTAACAAGTTAAAATTTTGCAGTTTTCGTCCATCAAATTTAAAAAAAAAGATAATGGCACTGGTATTTTTTGTCACCCAAATAATAAATAAAAGTATCTAATTTTTTTCTATTACATACAACATTCATTATTTTACTAATTTTTTTTCTAAGCCTTACCCATCGGACTGTTGTTTCAAATTAATTGCCTACTAACTAGATCAGTGGTGGTCGGCAAACTTGTAGACCAAAAAAGCCATATATAGTTAAAACACAATTGAAATTGATTCATAGCCATTTTTTTTAGCTTCAATTTTCATAGCCTTTTGTTTCAAAAATTTTTACTCGTCTCAAGGCAAGACAATAAATAATATTCCGTGCCTGAACTAAAAATTTCGCGGAGGAGCTGTGTGCTGTAGGCGAGAAGCCGGAGCCGCGGGTTACCGACCACTTAACAAAATAACGGTGTCGTGTTTCGGAAAATCACGATGGTAGGTTGATTCGGAAAACGTATAAATATTTTTAACGGTACTACAATATTATAAATGTAACAGTTTGTATGTTTTTTTTTTGCTCTATAAAGCAAAAATGGTAGCACAGATTATTGAAATTACACTCTGACTACGCCCGGTTTAACTGTTACATTAAAACGACGCTGTATACCCCGGCTCGTGATTTTACGTACATTACCTACAAATCAACTGAGAAATTATGAGGCAGAGTGTGATAAAAGCAATAAAGATTTTTATTTATTGCTTAGACGAGCTCACAGCCCACCTGGTATTAAGTGGTTACTGGAGCCCATAGACATCTACAACGTTAATGCGCCACCCACCTTGAGACATAAGCTCTAAGGTCTCAAGTATAGTTACAACGGCTGCCCCAGCCTTCAAACCGAAACGCATTACTGCTTCACGGCAGAAATAGGCAGGGTGGTGGTACCTACCCGCGCGGACTCACAAGAGGTCCTACCACCAGTAACCAGTAACCAGATACCGGGAAAGTGCCGCATATTTTATTCCTTCTGTATAGTTGGAGTGTGTGCTACCATCTCTCTTTACACTATTTTTTTAATAGTCACCCAATACTCTCCCAAGTAATTCAATGTCTAATTCAACAGTCCAATGGGATCGGTAATAATAAACTCACAACATAACTACAATATGTTGTGCTTCACAGACTAACATAGTAGCAAGGAGATAAAGAACACTAGTTAGAATTATTCTAGAGTCAAATCGAGCAAAGATATTTTGATATTTGAAGACAACAGTATCTTATTCATTCAGAGCACTACCTTAAAATTTCCCTGAGAAAATACATAACAGTTTCTTTCTAAAAGGTAATCTTACGTACGTACGTACGTTTTCTTCAGTATCTATTATACATAATTAATAAGAAATTTCTTCTTGTACCAACATTTTTTTGAGCTTAGTTAAGGACACCATAGTACCAACATACAAACATCAGACGACGCGTCTATGTACTAATACTTCTGAGAAATCAACATAATAATATTGTGATTTTAACATTAGTAGATAGATCTATAATTCAAAAACATGTTAATCAATGCCAAAAAGAAAACATTGTGCATCATACACTGTAGTGACATCATTAGTACTTACAGAGTATATACCAAACATTTAAATTTTACTCATGAATTTAAGGATAACATTTTAAACACCTTTTTTACCCATGAGCAATGTGAGAACGTACTATTAAAAATATTAGATTAATTAGATTAATACAGGAATATTGTGTTTATTATTTAATAAAATAATGTATCAGAAAGTAAAATAATAATTTTAGAAACAAACACACTTAATTTAATTTAAAATTAATTATAATTAATCAACCATCAAACAATGAAATGGCACATACAACTAACCACCGGAATGATTTATATAAAATAAATTAAAACAATAATTATTTTAATAACAAAACATAAAATGCAATTAAAACTATTCAATATTATCTTTGGGAAGATCACTTCAAGATTTAATAATGGCAAGCAAATATAATTTATTTGGATGAAGCTTTAACCAAAGTGGGTTAAACACTTAAAGAATCACGTAGTATGAAAATTTACACCACAAAACACTTTTCTTACATTTTAAGAAATCGAAAATTATATCCTAAATTAATAAAAATATTATTTAATTTCTAAATGAATGAATACATTCCCCGTAGATGATTGTTAGACGTATTTCAAACTAGTTCTTAATATTTCTATAAGGGAAAATTCAAATCGTACAATACAATATATTGCAAATATGTAATTAAATTTTTATACATAATTATACATTCTCTATTTCGTTTAAAGTTTCCGAACGAAACAAGTCAACACGGTGCTTAGTGCGAGGTTTTTAACGTTCTCGATAGCGTAAAAGTTAACCAAATTTGTATGGAGTTGGACCAGCTTCCCTAGCGGCAAACGAAGGGAGGCTGTCCAACTCCATATAATTTTGAGTTAATTTTTACGCGATCGAGAAGTTAAAAAACTCTCACTAAGCCGACTAAGCACACTGAGGGCGAACTTTTTAAAACTGTAAACTCGACGCTGGCAACAATGACGTTTGAAAAAATCGATTGCCATATTGAAATTATAGCAGAAAATATATTAAGAGTATTATTCTGTATTGTTATCTTGTTATGTTCTCCTTGTTTTAATATATTTATTTGTTGATTCGTAATATGTCGCTCATTGCCTCATCCAGTTAACTTCTCAAAACATTGTACCGTCGTTAGCGTATCAAAGGAAATTTTCTTTGGTCAAAAGGTCTTTGAACCGACTGGTGACCACCCTACCATCATAATTATGCATACTTATAAGTAAGGAATACCCAAAGACTTCGGATTCCTTTGAATGAACTTGAGCTGGTCGGAGTTAGAAACGAAAGCTTCTGACACGACTTTTTATGATTAAAAATATTTTAAAGTATTTTGAATGAAAATCTCGTGAATGTCTTAAAGGAAATATAAAATCCGTAAAGCTCTTTGTGCATTTGTACAATCATTAGCCTAGATAATCATTCTTTTTTTTTGTTTTGTTTTAAGAAAACGTCTTCATTGTTTAATTTTGTTTTGCTCAAAATTACCTTGGACTTTTGTGAGCGGCTCTCAGTGTCACAACAAACAACAGTTTACTAGCTCCCGGCCTATAATCTATTTCACAAATTACTAAAGGCGTATTCATATTATGCTCGATTTGTAAACGTTAAGGACAGCGCATGTGATTCCTGTGTATTTTAATCTCTGAATAACGCAATGCCTTGAAAATTAAGAGATCATTCATTTTAGCATTGCATCAGATGTTCAGAATAATGTGAATGTCGTCGCCCCACTTGAGACAGAAGTGTGTAGCTTCAAATCACAACGCTTGACTGCCCCGGTGACACGAAATAAACCGGATGTTGGTAGTTGCGTGGGGACTTACAATTATACATAAACTATTGCAATATCGTTTTAAGCCTTCGTCAAACAGAACGCGTACTTAGCGCGCGTCAGAGCTCTAAACTAACGCCGCGCTATGACGCCGGGATGTGTTGTACTACTACGGTATCATACCGTCAAACAGAGCGACAGCGCTATAGCGCTATAGCGCTGGCTCGGCATCTCGGCGTCATAGCGTAGCCAGAGCGCTACGCTATCACGCGCGCTAATTACGCGTTCTGTTTGACGAAGCCTTTACGTGGTTTTTAATCACTGTATTCACGTGTCAAAGAAGAGCTCATGGATCGTCTGGTATTGAATGGTTACCAGTGTGCTTAGTGCGAGTTTTTTAACGTTCTCGATAGTGTAAAAGTTAACGCATATTTGTATACAGTTGAAACAGCGCCCCTAGCGGCAAACGCAGGCAAACGTTACAACTCGATACAAACTTGAGTTAACTTTTACGTTATCGAGAACGCTAAAAATTCTCACTAAGCACACAAAGCCGTATTGACACGACTGTAAATTCCACCTTCGAACTACAGATCCCAAATATTACATTGCGGTACATTCTAAATAATGAGAAAATTCAATGCAACGTCGCATTTCAAGCTTAAATCTAAGCATTCTTACTGATACTCTAAACATGCCTTCACAAGTTTAATGTTCACTTGACAAGTTAAATGATTACATATTCCCTTGAGCAATAGGCTATGTCCTTTGATACCAAGAAATAAGCCTCGAAATTACCAAAAATCAGTATACCTTACCAGTATATCAGTATACCAGCACACAAATGTGTCTATAAGATTATCTAATATTATCCGTTGTTAAAGAGTTGAAAGCCGTAATTTTTTTAGCTTTGCCTAGGCATTTCCTATTTTATATCACATTGTATTGCTGAAAATTACTTTAAAATATGTATAATATACTGTATTTGTATATACTGTAAATATTCGTCAAAATTCCAAAAGAATCGTGCCCTAATAACTTTATTATTGCAGGTATGAGTTTTATCTACACGATTTGCAATATGAGTATTAATGTTTATTTCGATAATCCTGTACGCTAGTAGTTCTGATTTGGTTTTAATACAGAAATAATAATATTCTTAACGGAAGTTGGAAGAATGAAAGTATCTAGGTTCTAATTTTTCTTTTTTTTATTGCTTAGGGTGGTTGGCGAGCTCACGGCCCACCTGATTTTCAGTTGTCATCGGAGCTCAGACCTCTACAACGTAATGGCCGCCACCTACCTTGAGATATGAGTTCTAAGGCATCCGTTTCTACAGTACAACGGCTGCCCCATCCTTCAAACCGAAACGCATTACTGCTTCGCGACAGAAATACGTAGGCTCGTGGTACCTACCCGTGCGGAATCACAAGATGACCAGTAATAGATATAGATAGGTGAGCAAGCTGACGGCTCACCTAGTTTTAAATGGTTATCGAATTATTACAATGTGAATTCCTTCCACCTTGAGACCTGAGGTAGTTTAAGGTCATTATTTTTTATTAATTTATTTATTTATTGTAAATTTTTATTGTAAAACGCTAGGCCCATTCTTCAACCCAGAACGCACGATTGCTTTAGCACATGACGAAGGATACGTTTTCATGGGCTCAGAAAACAACTTTACATCTTCACATATAAAAAGAATATAGTCAATAATATGTTGAAATAAATGAGAGCTCTCACGGATAGCAGAACCAATGTTTTAGATTTACTGTCAGCCACTGCTAGCTTATACCTAAATAAATGGCCGCTTCACATTAAGTCTAAAGATATATAGTAGTTTTATATTAAGGCTATAGGTGCCAGAAGCACATTAATGACAAAAACTAGTACACCCAGATATTAAATCACAAATGTCTAGGTGTTGTTGTAACAAAGATACTCACTCCAACAAGGAATAAAACTAAAGATCTGTAATTTATCAGGGTCACAAACAGACCAATTAAAACATTTATGCTCATAAGATCATCAAGTATGTTTTTATATGTACTTAGTTAACGAGATTTTCATTCGAACACCATATTAGACTTACATATTCTAAATTATTACCATAGGTACTAAGCCACACTGATAAATATTACCTATTCTTTAAACATGCTATTGAAATAAGTATTTATCGATTCTCACTACCACTTGAATAGTATTGTATTGTAGTCTATAAATATGATAGATTTTTCACTAAATACTAAGTTATAAGTTTAATAGAATTATGAAAATATTAGAATTTTTTTTTCTACTGTCTTTGTACGTTTTCCAGTTGCTATTTAAATATTTTATTTTACCATTACGAATTTCTCTATTACAAGAAATATACAGATTTAAAATTGAAATGTTACGGATAACATTTATAGATATATTTATTATGTAGTTATAATCAATTTAGAGGTATTGGAATATAGTATTCACAAAGCATTTCATTCGCAGTACAATAATGATAATTGGGAATGTATTCGCTTTGCACTTAATCCATTATTTTCTTTACGTACATCTTTTCTATTCATAAATTTTGAACTACTATTTTCTACTCTTAACTGCCTAAATTCGTTTTTGTGCTTGTATAGATATTTTTATACAAAAAATCAACAACCAATAAAATAGCTTTGGCATCAAAACTAGGAACGAAATGTAATTTTTCACGGTTAATCCTATGCTTTGGTTTGTTCTACGTTTTTATTTTTATTTTAAACAAGCACAAAAACGAATATCAAAACTACAACACTACAATTTTTTCATTATTCTCAACTTTACTTTGGATTATTGCACTGTATTATTTTTATAACAATAAAATTAATATGTTGGTAATATTATGACTTATGCATTTGTATATGTGTCATAATTAAGGAATAAGCTGTAATAACATTACCTGATTGATTTCATCAATAAATAAATTAATCTTTCTTCTTTTTATCATCAGTAAGAATTTCTAAGAGCTCTTCCAGGGTTTTATTTTCCCTCTGGAATTTTTCTATCTGTTCTTTTGGTACAGTGTGTTTTAAGAGCAGCTCAATATTAGTTTTTAGACGACTTAATGGAGATTGATTTTCATCAACACATGAAGCGTGCCCCATTGCTTCAAGGGAATCCACTAGAAGATCGTCAATCAGACGCTTGTTGAAACCTGTACCGATAAAAATATATTAATACTATAAGCGGCGTCGTCATTCTATAAGTCGAAATCTATATTTACAAAGTTAAAGAATAATCAAGCTATTGGAACTTTTAAGAAAGGACACCGTCACCCAAAAGTAAGGCAAAAGGACTCGTAAACAACTTAGAATAACCACATTTCCCACATAAACATTCCCTGTTCACCGTTCCACCACCGTTAACAACGACAAATGAACTCACTCAATATTACCCATTCACGGCCGACGTTTCGCCTCTCGATACAATGACATATATTCTCTAGAATAAAACCAATGATGATGTAAGCCATGGACGTGCCCGTAACTGACACAAGCACTCGGCACACGTTTCACAACCCAGTAACAAAAACAACACCCTGTAATAGCCGGAACGGTCGCACTTGCATTTTCAATGACGCGGCGCATTCTATGTTATTTGTTGACCTTGTAACACCGATTAAATCAATGACCTCACATTATGTAGGCAGTGAACACCCGTTGATGTCTAATGTAGGGGAAATACTATTCGAACAGTGATCGATGATTCGAACAATACATTTTATTATTATCCTGAATAATTAAATATGGAATAGTGACAATGATGTGGACGTGTCTCAGAAATTAACACCCCATTACTGGCAAACACACACACTAAGCATTTATTTCAAAATAAAAACAGTGCCATTTTATATGAAAGTGTTACAACAGTATGAAATCAAATGTTACGCACCTAAAAACTTGAGTCTTTCTTTGGATAAGATCATAGAGAAGAGCAGAGCGAGCAGGAACCTCATTCGGGACAGGCTCATTACAGACTCAACTTCAATCTCCTCTGTACGAGATGAAGCTGGGATTCTTTCTTCTTGTGACAAATTTTTAGCCTTACATAGCTTTGCATGATTCTCAAGCTGTACCTTCAACTTGAAAAACTGATCACATTTGGGACACTTGTAAGGATTTTCTTTACCATGAATTTTGCGCATGTGTGCCTTCATGTGAGGCAGTTGAGAGAAAGATAATGGACACACAGCACATGGAAATGGTTTTTCTCCAGTATGTCTACGAATATGAAGCATAAGGGCATTTGAATGTGAAAACTTTCTGTCACAGATTCTACACTCATAAGGCCGTGCTCCTGAATGAGATCTGCGATGAACATTTAGTTGAGTGGATTGTGTGAAACATTGACCACACTCAGGACACTCATGTGGTCGCCGTTTCTCATGGGTCCTCATATGCTCTGTCAAATGTCCCTTTAAGTTCTTTTTGCAAATAGGACACTGGATTCTATGACCACTGTGACAAATCTGTACATGTCTCCTCATAGAATTCATCCTCAGAAAGTCTTTACCACAATATTGGCAGACATAATCTTTTATTTTCAAGTGGCTTTTGACATGCATTGCTAATCGGTTACGACACCCATAACTCAAGTTGCACACCGTGCACTGATATCGACCAGTTACCAAATGTTGCTTCTCATGTTGATTTAACTGTAATTGATATGAAAATTTTTTGTCACAATAAATGCATTTGTAAGAATTTTCATTACTAATGTGACTTGCCAAATGCAAGCTGAGGTTTTCTTTCAATGTGAAAACCTTATCACAAATATGGCACACAAATTTATCAGGTTCTTTAGATAAGTTATTATGTTTTTTCTTTATGTGAATCCTCCTGTTTACATGATGACGAAACTGTTTTGAACAATGGGGACAAGAGTATGGGTGCCAATCTAGATGTATATAAATATGTCTCCGTATTGATGATTTACTGCTGAATGATTTCTTGCAGTAGTCACATTGAAACAGCTCCAATGTCAAAACTACACCACTGTCAGGTGTCATTTGTTTGGTTGTTGATGAATTGTCATCAGATTTGTTTTCAGAGGTTGATGTGGAATTTTGGTTACTAATTTTTTCATTGTTATTGTTAGAGGGTTTGGTGGGATTTTTTTCAGTTTGTGACCTCGTTTGTCTTTCTGCACTGTCATCAATTAATAACTCGCTCTTCAATATGTTGTCTAAGAGTTGCAAATCAGGTTTGTTTTTCTTTTTTATTCGACCACTTCTAGATATCAATCTGTCCTTTTCAGGGGGTCTTATTTTAGCAGCCATAGCAGCCAATCTCTTTTTACTGGGGACATATTTTCCTGGCGGTCTCACAGGAAATTTTCCCTTAAAAAGATGACCATGTTGAAGTAAGCATTGAACTCTTTCTTGTGTAGTAAGTAGCTTTACATCACTCGGTCTTCTCATGACAATATTGTCTTTCCCAGACTTTATTTTCTCCTCTATTCTCTTTATTGTCTCTGTGTCAGTATAATCATCTGAAGATGGTTCTTTATCAGATATATCTTTGCCTAAGTTATTGTTATATTTTTCTTTGTTAATGTAGCGTTTCCTCACCGTTGTGTCATTTTTACCTGCCAATGACTCGTTTTTACTTTTTTTTCTAGTACTTGCACTTTTTTGTGCTTTTACTCTACCTTTTACGTTAGCCATGACTAATCCATTAGTAAGCTTACTAATTTTACAGCAAGCGATAGGAACCCGCCACCAGTTGAAGAGTTAGTAGCGACACTGCTTAGACTGCAGCGACGCACGTACGTACATGCAGATAATATTATTATAGTTTACAATAATCACCTATAGCCGTTCGGTGTGCAGATAACAGGCCTGTTTGCACAACAATGCTCTACTAATGTGTGAAGGACGATCTTTTGTCTTATAATAATGAGAACATCTTCTATTACCTTGTTTTAACATTGAGCATTACAAAAACACAACCATTTTGCATTCACACGTACACATACACTCTGCAACATTTTTATCCCACAATAACTGGTGTTAAGTAATTTATGTTCACGATTATCATAGTACAATAATAACCGTTGGATTAAAATGAACTGAGAACAAAATATATTTTGTTGAATGACTTCGCAGTGAACTGCGCGAAAGAGAGCGAGAGAGACAAGTAGCGCAGTAAAATACATCTGTCAAGAATTCTACATGCATCATTACTTGCGCCATCTGTTGATAATATAGTGATGTAGTTTTTCAAAAACTGATTTAGACGCTTAAACCCATTATCTACACTTTTTTCTTTTAAAATTTAGTCTTATAAGCAATTAAATAAAGTAAACTTATTAATATACTTAAAAAATCATGCATTTACCTTTGATTTTCCATTTTAAAAGCAGAAAGCAGCGCCATCTTGTGATAGTTTAGAAAAACCAAAGAGTGCAATTTTTGATTGAACATTGACTGTAAATAATTACTGAGCGTGAAGCATGAAAACGGGAGAGGGACCCACCCGGGAGGTATTGACCAGAAATATATTTCTTTGAATTGAACGGCCAATGGCACGTCAGTTTATTTATAAACGCGTACGCTGAGATTGCGCAGTACGCGTCATACCTACTTCGTGCTCGATCGAATAAGGCACAAAGGATGAACTCAGACCTTCAGATAATGCTTCAGATAATGCATGCATTCAGATATCAATAAATGAGTATTCTGTGTTCTGTAGTTATTTGAATTGAATTATGAGTTTAAAACATGCAGAAAAATATTGCACCAACGATTTTATCCGACTTCTGCAGCTACTAAAGTCTTTACTTTAATACATTAAGCCTTACCATCAGGCATGGCGTGAGCTCGTTGACTGAACTAGAACAAAAAATAATTGTCTCGGGTGAAATTTGAAAAGTAATTTATCTGCTATCGACTGTAAGATGTAGGTAAGCCGGCAAACTTAAGCAAAGCACCATCTCTTCTGAGACAGTGCGATCCAGCTGATTTTTTAATTGAGAAGCGTTGAAACGTAACGTTGCGTTGAAATCTTTCTCACCTAACTTGTGAGTATTACACTAAAGAGTTCAACGGAGCTACGCCGATTTCTGTTTGAGTCCAATTTTTTTAATTGGCCTCCAAATACATTGGTTTTCTTTGAAAGTAAACTCATCGCTCATTTACTCTTTTTTAGACAATATGAATTACGCCATTTTTTCATATAAGTACTCATTGGCATAGCTAGGGAATTCTATTGGAAGGCAGATGATAGGTCAAATAACGTATTTGATTTCGATAATCCAATCAGAGTTCGTTAGTTCGAGTAGTTTTATCGGATGTTTAACACTCCTCTCCTCACTACGCACATGATTAGGTACCCACTGGGTTTCCCACCGGATCTTCTCACTGGGTCGCGTTTCCGATCCGGTGGTAGATTCAACGAAGCACTGCCCTTGCTAACCATAGTGTTAGCAAAATTTCCCAGGTTGAGCCAATAGGTAAGGGAAAAAAACGCACAGGCATATTCCTACTGCCAAATATACCTAAATGTGCTAGTTATTTTGTTTCTTCGAATTGTTTCTCCAGTAAAAACAACATTAGCTACTGGATTCTGCCAACTTGAAACATAATGTAAAATTAGATTTCGTTTAATCACTGTCCTGCATACCTACTAACAATACCTATGTCCTAACAACAGTAGAATAAAAGTAGATAGGTTCGCAATTTTACTAATTTTGTAAGCTTCGGAAATGTCACCGACTAATTGAGTTCGAACTAACATTTCCCATTTTAGTTTAGTAGATCGGCTGTACTGTATTTCGCTTGTTGCTAACGCACCAAACGTTACAGTACCCTAGACACGTCCTTACGGATCCATCAGATCCATTAACCTTTGCATTAGACGCCTTCAGCTCTAACACTAGGAGCAGGCTTAGGGACCCCGGTAACCATACTCGTCGAACTCGACAAAGAGGTAGACGTGCAACCCAACCCATGCATCAGCCCGCTAAGTTTCTCACCGGATCTTCTCAGCGGGTCGCGCTTCAGATCCGGTAGTAGATTTATGCGCGAAGCAGTTGCTTTTGGGTTGTTAGGTCTCTTTCAGAGGCGCTCGGGTAGCTGTTAGCAAATCCCACCCCTCCTGGCTGAGCCTTTGCTCGCCCACCTGTCCTGGTGAAACTGGAAAAGCCTCCGGGCTACCAGTAATCCTTCAATAATAATAAAAATGGTTCAGTTTCAAGAGTGGAAAACCGCCGTCATAGAGACTGACCAAAATTCACAAATTTTGTGGTTTCTAGAAGCTCCCAAAAACCAAATGAATAGGTGGGTACAGCTTAAATTACGCTTTCACTATAAAAGCTACTGAATGCGCAAAGGACGTTTTCGTAATAAAATCGTGATAAATTAAAAATCTGTATAATAATACGCGGACGGCAATTCTTTTAAAACTATTACACGACTATGCACGGTCCTTAGCGTAGAAAATGGACATAAATTGATGCGCCATTAAAATAGCGATTGGCACACGAACTTTCATACATAGTTTATGATAGTAGGTACATAAAAACTTTTAGATCTCTTATTTAAGCTGAATGTGTCGTAGGTATGTAAAACGATTGTTCCCCCAATTGGACTGAACACTTGTAATGTACAAGGGCGGATCCAGCTTTGGCGCCAGGAGGGGGTTACATAGTCGTGGTCAAGTCAAGAACTTATAAATTAATTTTGATAACAATAGATACAAGTAAAAATCATTATGTTCAATTAGTGGTCCACCTAAGTCCTGGAACCAGCTTAGGGGGGGGGGGGGGGGGGGTCATGACCCCCTCCCCCCTGGATCCGCCGTTGGTAATGTAGGTATACGTTAGTATTTCAAGGAAGTGATTTGCAGTTAGATTTGAAACATTATGTTGTAGCGGTCTTTTTGTGCCCCTTGAATTATCAGCACCCATGAACGCTGTTAACCAATTACGACCAGGTGAAACGGTTAATCGCCCGCGATTGATGGAGATAACAAAAGCTTTTTCATTACGAAGTTACGGAAACAGATTTAATTAGGTAAATAGCTTATAGTTCTCATCTACAAAGTGTTCTCTTATTGAATGTAGGTACACGCACCACCCACAAATAGAGAGAGATGGAGAAGTCTCGCAAAAGCTGCAACTAATAATAAGATAATACATAACCACAACCACTCCGCCAGAAGTGTACGACGGAACTGTAGGTTCCTCACCTATAGTTTTACATAGAGATTGCATGCTATATTCAACGTTTAAAAAAATATGGTCTCCTATCAACTTTGGAAATAACGAAAATGTAAAAATGACTTTTACCTACCGCTGTACTACGCTGGTAGCCTAAGGAGCTATTCCAGCTACGCCCGGACGGGTACGTGAGCTCACTGGCTCAAGCTGAGAGATTTTGCTAACTCCAGTCCTAGCAAGAGCAGTGTAGACTACCGCCGGATCGGAATAGCGATCCAATGAGAAGAACCGGTAAGTAACTCAGTAGGCTATGTTTGGGGTTAGGTCCATTGTCGTAATCGACGAGTTTGACGGGAATGGTGACTGGCGCTTCAGGGGCCTAAAAGCACCTAAAATGGATCGATAGACGACAAGAGGATTATCGTGTCTCGCCGCTTTGTAAAAGTAGCATTCTGACGCTACCTTAAGATACTTACGTATCGGTTTAAATTTAAATCGTCTTGAAGGGCGACACTACTCACGTATCATGGCACTTCGACGGCTATCCAGCAGAAACGGGATTGGATGACCTGGAGATAGTTTATGTGCATGCGGGCCGCGTGCGAGCGAACATTACACTTGCAGAAATAAATAATTTTCCTTTTGTTCGTCACTTCGTAGCCCAACATGGCGTTTAGACCGCTCAGCTTTCCCCATTGTGTCTCTACAATGGCGTTCAGCTCGCAACAACAAGCAACGGACGACACGCTTGCACAATCTAAGCACACAATGACATTGTCCGTATTACGGCTGCATGTAATTAAATTTGGGCCAGAAAATGGTATAATTAAGACATAAAACTAATCTAAGAATGAAACGAACCCACGAGATTTGGTTTAATAATCATTTATTTTTGAAAGCGCAGTTGGCTATCACAGGCTACCTTAAATTTACTTAAATGTTTCATCGATTTAATTAATATAGTTCTGCCTTTTTTCACAGAGATGAATGGATAATTACTGCAAGGTTACATCTTTTTTTTATTTTATTTTTATTGCTTAGATGTGTGGACGAGCTCACGGCCCACCTGGTTTTAAGTGGTTACTGGAGCACATAGACATCTACAACGAAAATGCGCCACCCACCTTGAGATATACGCTCTAAGGTCTCAAGTATAGTTACAACGGCTGCCCCACCGTTCAAACCGAAACGCATTACTGCTTCACGGCAGAAATAGCCAGGGTGGTGGACCAGCCAGGACCTACCCGCGCGGACTCACAAGAGGTCCTGCCTCCAGTAAAATCTTCTTCCTATACTCAGGGACGTCTTAAACTAGGATGGGGCCCTTGGGCACACAAGAATTTGAGGCCCTTTTGGAAAGTAAAAAAAGCGAATTATAATAACATTTTTTTACTGAGTATAACCATTTATTATAGGTAATCAAATACAGTATGATATAATATGTCATCAATGATATTAGAATGCTGCTGGTTTTTTGGTTACGATTTCGATAAAAGTTTCTTTCGAGATTTCTGTTGAGCAAAATCTTCTATTATAGGCATAGTATATGCCTTGTAAATACCTTCTGATTACTGATTTGTGAAATCAATCAAATTTGTCAATGTCCGACAAAAATGTTTTGAGAATAAACGTGTGAGAGAAATTGTCGGTCTTTCGGGGCCCCCTGAGAATGGGGGCCCTGGGCACCGGCCCCGTGTGCCCTTATGTTAAAGACGGTATTACCTAGACTGTATTTTGAATACGAAATCTTTGTGACACGAATATGATGACCTATACTTGTAAGATTTCTGAATTTTCCTGTTGCTAATGAGATAAGAGATATGTTTCTTTTAAAAAAAACTACCCTTTTAAGTAGATATAGGTATAACGGATTCGTTCCACCCCTTGATATTGTCGTTATCAACGGACCTGCGATGATCAATGCTAATTAATTGACCCACATTTACCGCCTGCTTTTGACGCCATAAATTATGGAATTTCGTCACCATTAAAAAATTTTAGCTACAACTGCTATACCTACATACAAGTTTTTTTTTTCTTGGACGGATGAACGAGCTTACGGCTCACTTGGAGTGAAGTGGTTACCAGAGTCCACAGACAATGCCATTGTAAATGACCCACTTCTCGAACATCACTAGAACCACTCGGTTCTATGGTGGTAGTACCCATTCGGGCTTACAAGCTGCCCTACCACCAGTATATTGTTCTATGTTTGAAAATGTTGGTCCCGAAAAACATTTCAGCTGTAGTTTAAAATTCTATTAACTTTTGTGAACCGAATTTTCGAATGTTACTCAAAATACGGAAATTTCTCAAGAATGCAACATTTTGTTTATAACAAAGGACGTAGATCGCAATCATTATTACATAAATATGTTACAACCTGTACTGAATAGAAGATTTTTTCGTGGTTTCTAAGTGATGTTGACATCCTAAAAATGAATTAGGTATTTTTACTACAAAAATCACAAAACATTTTTTCATTATACTAATTATATACTATCTTTAGTATGAATACTCTTCATTGGTTACAATTTTAGACATAGTAAGGTACCTTATCCTCCCTAATTAGGTCTAGAATTCTGAGGAAACGTTTCAGTCTTATTATACAATATAATTTCAGACTTGGATCTAATGTCTCGAAGTAGGTGGCGCCAGCATTGTTATTTTGAATTATTCTACCAGTTTAAAACAAAAAAGGAAGGTTATGATTATGATTTCTTTAGGAAGGAAAGATTACTGATGGCCCATAGTCCTTTCTAATTTCACCAGGTCAGGTAGGCGAGGGGTAGGATTTGCTAACAACTGCCCGAGCACCTCCGAAGGAGACCTATCGAATCAAAATCGCGACCCGCTGAGAATATCCGGCGACAAACTCAGCAGGCTGATGTATGGGGTTAGGTTGCACGTCAAACTCTTTGGACTCGTCTTTTGCCGAGCTCTACGAGCACGGTGATCAAGGACCCTATACATACTCCTAGTGTTAGAGCACGCCTGTCTAATAATAGTGTTAGTGGATCGGAAGGATTCGTGAGGACATCATTATGATAAATACGAAATAAAAAACCTTTCATCAAAGTACAAGATTTCTGTATGGACCTAAATAATATTTGCAAAACATTGAAAAAATATTTTTTTAAATTAAAAAGGCACTACCTTATTCTCGTAAAACAATCCCAAACAAACAACATTACATCATGCTAAGCGATAACGTAGAAGTAGGTCACTGATCCCAGATAAGTTAACCATTAAAACATGCACCAGTATGTAAACATGAGGTCATCCAACTCTGGGACATTGTGAAGGGGATTAAACGCAGTATACAACCTAATTTCTTTTAATAACGTCACAGTCTAGTTATGTAGTGAATCGAATTGCTTTGATGTCACCGTAGATAGCAATGTTCTGGCTAGGTGACAATGAATTTCGAAAATTTAGGTTAGAAATAAGATTATAAAAACTTCCAAGCTCATGTAAATAGTGTTGTGATATAGTCTGTGATTTTAGTATTAGATATTATATTAGAAATTAAACATAATATCCTCAAAAAACAAAACATTAATTAGTAGGTAAACACTTAAGAAGCAAGAGTAAAATTGACAAAGGCAGTTAATTTAAGAAATGTTCAGATTTTACTTTTGTTAAAAGATTTGAAAATTCATTTAAAATATTTATTACAGCCAAGACAATGTCATTACATTTCAAAATGTATTCATTGCTATAGTTACTACAACAATAATATTAAGCAGGTTTTGCGTCTTCTGAAAAATAGAATTCTCATCCTAAATATGTATTCCCTCAATTTCGGGGGTTCAATAGGTTCAGTACATTTAAATTACAATAATATCTCTTAAATTTCATGATAATATCGCTGTTGACGTTAAGTTACGGAAGTTGATTTTCAAAAAATACCTACTCAAAACTCATCAAAAGTATTTTCAATTATTTTCGCTCTGTAAACAGTTTCCCGTTTCCTAGTCAAACATTACAAATCGAATGTAGGTACACAACATCGTAGAATAAGTAAGTACCTGTCGCAAATTTGTACAAAGAAGAAAGAGCCGTGGGCGGGGATCATTTTCCAAAGGCTGCACTCCACAATTCACATTGTCTTACATTTCATACTTTATTCTTTAATCAAGTTTCGCAGCGATTGTTGGTTCTCTGGGTCAATATTACTTTGTCGTGTACCATTAAAAAAAAAAACAAATTACTCAAAATTTATATTGTTCATTTTAATGCATAATTTTGACGATAATGATGAAATTTTGGTGGATGTTCGTGTTGTTTGCCAAAACGGCGTCAGCCAGTGACAACGAATTACCCACTGCAGAAGCTGAGAAAGGTAAATAGTTCTGATTAATTAGTATCAAAGCAAAATACATCAATAAATGCAAAGTATTATAATCAACGTGTTCTTGAACTCAGTTAATAAAATCGCTAACGACTTTGTCTTCGAGTGATAAATTAATAAACTTAACGTAATATTTGCATATATACTTATTGTAATTATATAATTTTGTGTACTAAAATATCCACGTTTGAGTGAAGAACAAGTACGATTTCTAAAAGTAAGAGGATCTGGCTAGATATTGAGCATTACCACTGATAATATCCGGCATTTGCATGTCAGCAACATGTTCAACAGGATGTTCACGGATCATAATAAAAATTACAATAATGACCGCTTAGCTCTATGGCACGTGTAACCAAAAACATCCCACATCTCATAAAATACTCAATTTCATAATAAAATTGCACGAAACAACTTTCGCGGAGCGTCTTTCAAGATGTACATTATATTTAATTTTTTATTTGTTAATTTTTTCTAATTGATATTGTCAAGTTAGAAAGGAGGACACACTTCTGTGAAACACATTGTTTTACGAGTAATTAACAAAAACATTCAGAAGCTTTCAAATAATTTTGTATATAGGCGTTCTATATCACACACCCATCAGTTAGTTTGGAATTACAACTCCGAACCTGTGTTACAATTCTTATTGATTAATGTAATAACTCCAATGCTAAACTCGGTAAATTGTGCGCTTATATAAAATTTTGTTGAATTATTTAATACCTAAGTACTATGTAACATAATATGTATTTTTATTAAATTGTTACTATTGGAAATATCGCTAGTAGGAATTAATCATTACTGCAAAGATCACCATCATCAAATACTCCAAATTTTTTTTTCTGGGTTTAATTGATAGACAGACAGCTGGTCGTAAGACTAGAAGTCAGTTCTAAATCCAAAAAACTTACTTTTTTAATATTATAGTTATTATAATATTTTAATATAACAACATATTAAAGGCAGATAAGCTCCATGCCCGCCGGATAATAAGAGGCTTCGATCAACAATAGTTACTATTGTTGATCGAAGATAAGAGGTATTGGAATTCATAAACACCGTAAAGGAAATCCCGTATCCCACCATTTACCTTCAAACGGTAAAAAAAAAAATTGCTTCACGAAAAAAAATGGAGGGAATGGTTGTCCAGCAGTGGACATCAAATCTGTGGGCTGTTAGATAAATTATACAGAACCGTGCAGACTAGCAACAATTGGACAGTCCCTAGTATTTTAATGGATTATTAGTGATTATTTAATATGAAAATACCAAGGTAACTAATATATTTATTATATTTGAAACTCAAATATAATACAGTGAGGCAGTGACAGAAATACCTAGTCAGGTCATAAGTATTGTCACACAGTAAAAACATTTCTTTTACAATGCTGGCCACAAAAAAGTTTATTGAACCCGAATTTCGAATTGTTCATGAAAATAAAAATAGTATACATTTAGAATTTTACTCATTTTTAAATATGGAGTGGACGCTTAAAGAAGACCGTGTTGCAGTTATTGCGTTGCATCGTTGCGGTTAAGCGCCAATTCAAATTTTTAACATACTGAAAAATTTGAATATAACCAAAATATTCGTTTATCGTACCATCAAACGATACAATGAAGACTCTAGTGTAGATGACAGGTCAAGAAGTGGTCGCCCTCGGTCTGTTAGGACTCCAGCAGTGATAAAAGCTGTGAAGGCGCGAATTCAAAGAAATCCCAAACGTAAGCAGAAACTGTTGGCCCTTCAGATGGGGTTAAGCAGAACCACGGTGAAAAGGGTGTTAAATGAAGACTTAGGGCTTCGGGCATATCGAAGAAAAACAGGACATCGTTTGAATGCTCGTCTAATGGACCTGAGACTGAAGAGATGCCGCGCTTTGTTGAAGCGGTACGCGGGAAAAAAATATCGGGAAATTCTTTTTTCGGATGAAAAAATTTTTACCGTAGAAGAGAGCTACAACAAACAAAATGATAAGGTGTACGCACACAGTAGTGAAGAAGCGAGCAACCGTATTCCGCGTGTCCAACGAGGTCATTTTCCATCCTCGCTCATGGTATGGTTGGGAGTTTCTTATTGGGGCTTAACAGAGGTACATTTTTGTGAGAAAGGTGTAAAAACGAATGCAGTTGTGTATCAAAATACAGTCCTGACGAACCTTGTGGAACCTGTTTCTCATACCATGTTCAATAACAGGCACTGGGTATTCCAACAAGATTCGGCGCCAGCTCATAGAGCGAAGAGCACACAAGACTGGCTGGCGGCGCGTGAAATCGACTTCATCCGGCACGAAGACTGGCCCTCCTCCAGTCCAGATTTGAATCCGTTAGATTACAAGATATGGCAACACTTGGAGGAAAAGGCGTGCTCAAAGCCTCATCCCAATTTGGAGTCACTCAAGACATCCTTGATTAAGGCAGCCGCCGATATTGACATGGACCTCGTTCGTGCTGCGATAGACGACTGGCCGCGCAGATTGAAGGCCTGTATTCAAAATCACGGAGGTCATTTTGAATAAACTTTAGTGTCATAAGAATCTATGTTTTATTAAGTTCATTTTGGTATATGAATGGTTACATAATGAATAAACTTGTTTCAATTATTTTACATTAAACATGTGACAGAATTTATGACCTGACTATGTACAATTACAAACTGGAAAAGATTACTTTTAAATATTATTAATTAAGGGCCGTCACTTTTGTGACCGAATACATTTGAGTGAGACATACCTAATTAACCTTAAAAAAACACGAATGTATCTAACGGCATGTTACTGACGAGTCACGAATTTCACGGGCATTAGCATTGAACAATAAAAGTGAAAACAGTAGAGATATCCAGTGAAAATCTGTTCCTATTGTAACGTTTGTTGTTTAATTTCATTTTTATCTAGATTAACTTTAAATGAGTGTGCTCGTGGAACTCGTGAATGCAGCCATCTTGAGATAGTAAATCGCAATCTCAGCTCCATATGAAAATTATCGTTAATATCCCGAATTCATCAAGAGAGCATCAAAATTCGATTCATAGTTACTATTTCGAATTGTACCAACGTCAAAATTTTATGCTTAGTATTATTTCGTAGGTTTTGTTTCCGTCTAACGTCTTAAACTTAATGGAATTTTTCTTAGATTGATTATGAAGCCAAGAAACGTTTTCTTGACCTTAATTTAACTGCTATTATACTTATTGTAAGTACTAAAATCCCTACTTCCATACATACTTATAATATAAATGTGAAAGTGTGCTTTTTGATTCCCTAATTCATGTCGAAACGAAGGCAGGGACAGATATGTTTTTTTGTTTATTATGTATATTAAAGAACGAATATTTGAACGAACACTATGGGTCCCCGCCGGTAGCATTAATTTAGTCACAGCTGGTTAAGCGGCGAAATTCCTCTTCCCTCCTTGCTTTTCAATGTCAGTTTCCTTAGACATCGACAGCGCAATTTAAATTTACAACTATATTTGGTGACGTTCAGATAAAATTCACCAGATATCATTAGGGACTAGGAGTGACATAGGGTACCTTTTATCCCGAAAAACATCTTGCTTCCCGAGTAACATCTTGTTCCCGCGGGAAACTACACTAACACTTATTCTTGACTGACTGGAAAAAGCCGCAAGTATCAGCTAGTAATACAATGCTTAACTTTCGTAGGTATCCAAAGACTGAAGTAAATCATTTTTATGATGACGTCAGAGTTTTTTTTTATTGCTTAGAAGAATGGACGAGCTCACAGCCCACCTGGTGCTAAGTGGTTACTGGAGCCCATAGATATCTGCAAAGTAAATGCGCCACCCACCTTGAGATATAAGTTCTAAGGTCTCTGTATAGTTACAACGACTGCACCGCCCTTCAAACCGAAACGCATCACAGCTTCACGACATAAATAGGCAGGGTGGTGGTACCTACCCGTGCGGATTCAGAAGAGGTCCAACCACCAGTAATTACGCAAATTATAATTTTGCGGGTTTGATTTTTATTATACGATGTTATTCCTTCACCGTGGAAATCAATCGTGAACATTTGTTAAATACATATTTCATTAGAAAAATTGGTACCCGCCTGCGGGATTCGAACACCGTTGCATCGCTAGATACGATTGCATCGGACGTCTTATCCTTTAGGCCACGACGACTTCAAAATGATGATTCAGAACAAATTTAATTCGCTTGTACACGTGATTTCCTCATTAGAATTTTATTTTGTTCCATGGAGTTAATAACTTTGTTCCTTTTTGTTCACAATAATATCCAAATCCAAATGTTGGCTATTAACTTTGCCAAGGAATTTATCTTTAACTGCTTACACATAATATACACTTTATTTCTTAATTGAAAATAAAGCTACTTGTTTCTTTAATTTTACAGAGTCACGTTTTCTTCCTAACTTCGAGAAGCGGTTTGACCGACCAGGTATCGGAATAGCTTCAGGAGGTCTTCCTCCATTGACAACAGCGCCTATTGCAGGAGAAAGATGCTCTGCTCGATTAGAATCTGCGTTGGATCAGTTGAAAAGGAGAAAAAGAACTCAACCAAAGAGCTTGGATCTTCCAATGGTAAGAGCTATTTTTCGAAATGTATTAAAAACTTAAGAGTGCCTATACTTAATTATCTGTACGCGTCAGTCACTTTAAATAATACGTACCTATATTATAAGTTTTTGGAGTTTACTCCTTTAGAATCGATTTACATATATAGGCCCGGGGTATGAAAATTATGGGGACCAAAATCGTACTAGCATGTCACACGAAATGCGTTATGCGCCTGATTGGCTCCTGATTGCGTGATGCGTGCGCGCGCCAATCAGGAGCCAACGCGCGGCCGCGTTATCGCAGGTGACGCCGGGCTGCTGCGCCGGCAGTCCGCCACAAAGCCTCGTACTGATCGCGCGTTTCTCGCATTATTGTATTTTCATATATTTGTTAGTCGTTTGTTTTGTGTCTCGTTAATTTGTTAATAATCTGTAGTGTATCGTGTTGTCGTAATATAGAACTATTTCTCGTATTGTTTCGTTTAATTTTTTATATCCAGTAAACTCCAGTCGTGCGTCGGAGCGGACACACACACACTTTTTTTTTTAAATTTTAGAGCGAGCGACTCGCTGTTAAAATTGCTGTAAAAATCGATGAGTGCCGATATTCATTCTAACAATTAATTGCTTTTAGCAGCAGTTATGCATCGATTGAATCGGAGCTTTCGTAGCTTTATGGTCTCAATTACTCTCAATTATTTGTTGGAGAAAAAATGGACAGATACAAAATATGTTTTCACTTACGTAAAAGGCATTTTTGATTGCTCACGAATTCTATGAATATTATTTACCAGCCACGACAAATTCGAATTTCTTGAAAATATATTAAGCCATGTACTTACAATTCGTTTCAGAGTCAAAGCATCGACTTGAATGGATATAGTCTGTATCAGCAAATGCGATCGGCTCCAATAGACATGTACGTTACCAGAATGAGGGTACGTCTCCCGCAAAACAGTAATTGGGTGCGCGTGGAAAAGTGCTATTTCGACCCTAGGAACGTCTCTCTAGACACAATGCTACTATTCCACGATTTGACTATTAGTGGAAACGTGGATTTGTATGACGCCAGCGAATTAGACAGAAATATACCGTCAACTCAAAGAAATCGGAGACACTACGCAGAAGCCAGATCGTACGACCCGTATCCGGTTGACGGGTATCAAAGGCGCGGGAAAGGCTGCAATATGATTCTGCGACTCAGAAAGGCCGGAATAGGATTCCATACGAGACCGTTAAATCAACAACCGGGAAAATTCAACGTGAAAACCGATTCTGAATTTGTAGAACCAGGCTTCATAAGTGTCTACGCGTATGGTTGCGAAAAATATATCAACAGAAACTCCGTACGTAACAAAGACGAACTGCCCTTGAAGCGGAAAAGGAGATCGGACGAGTTCATTTTCGACCCACGATTCGACGATGCGTTTTCGCATGGAATGGACAGTCGATCTTCAGAAAACAATCGGGATATTTTTTACGAACCGCGCACCAGCAGGGCTGATTACGAAAGAAGTAAACTGTTCAGGCCTGATGATGATTTGGATGAAGTGGAAGATATCTCTAGGGAAATGGAGGACATTTTCACGAAAGGAATAAGAACGCTGCTGACAACATACATGAAGAAGGAACTGCAACCAGCTATTAAAGATACTTTAATGAGGAATATGGGTTATGTAATATCTTACGGATAACCAAACAATAAAATTGTGTTAAACTTATGGTCAAATTTTTAATCATAACCTCGTCGTGATATTTATAGATTTCTATAATAATCTATATCTTAATCCATGGTTTATTATTCTATACTGACGAATAATAAACCATGGAAGTAATAAATACTAGTTGTACGTATATATATAATATAAACTTTTGTCTCGATGTGAGTTGCCGAATTCACGTTGTGACATTCATGAGCTCCCAAAAATCTCCAAATCATACCACATAGTCTTTAACTGGATGCGGCGATGCCTGGATAATGCAGCTTTAATAAGTCTACTAAACATTTGAAAGTTGTTAAAGAAAGCATAAAGATATTTGTTTACTGATTTCAGGGTAAAATTAACTAAGCTTTCCATAAACAAAAAGGAAGGAAATAATGAAAAATTCATTCGAACGGTTTCATTCGTCGCATTAAAGACAATCGAGTATTAAATTGGCATTGAATTAGATTCACTGGACGAGAATTGGCACTGTTCTACTTTTCTTTAAACAACCTTAACGCTAACTGTGCCGTAAATCATTTTTTTATTGGTATACATGCCTTACTGGGCGAAACTCAAATCAGTTTAAAGCTTAGTTCTTGAATAAGATAATCTATGTTATAAGAAAAAGCATTTCCATAACAGTGACACAAGTTTTTATCCACAAATTATTCAATAATATCCTACATTAGGCATTTAGCAATTTTTTAGTTTTGTATTATTATGAGTAATTTTATGGACTATATTCATTTGTTATATTTTTACTACCAGGTGATGCATTGTTAAATTGGTTTTATCTTTATAATGATCATCCAGCCAATACAAGTATTTTTAAATAAAATAAAATTATGTTCCCATCTGTGTATTTGCAACTACTTCTGAAAACTAAAATATAAAACAAGATAATTTGTTTTTATTCTGAACTAAGGGCAAGTACAATGTTAGGAATCTATAAATTTCACTATTGCTCTATTTTAAAAGTGATAAACATTTTTTGGGACATTTTTTTAAGTTGGCAATTTATTTTTATTTATTTTATATAAAGATCCAAATATCATCCTTAAAGATTATTATGAAATAAAAAGCATTCTACAATAATGTTAATTAATACCTTTGCATTAAAATATACTTATACTATAAAATGTGGCACACACTTTATCTTATAAGCTAATAGTATTAGACTAAGATCACAGATATCAAATTTCAGTAGATAATAATTTATTTACAGACATATATTTTATACTCTACAATATCAAATGCAACCTTGAATTCGTTTTTGTAAGTAAAGTGAAATGTTGAAGTTTCTGTTCAGGGGAGTTATAACGTAGATTTATTTAATAAGAAACAACAAAATTTTAATGCTTTAAAGCCTATATACCCTATAATGAATGTTATAATAAGCCTTAGACTTCAGAATAAAAATCAAAATACTTATTTAATGAGTAATTAACATTATTATATATATTTATTTTAAACAGCATTTATATTTGATTTTTAAAATTTTATAAGTACTACAAAACATAATACTGGCAAGACTAAACCTATAAATCAATACTATACTATATTGTTTGCACTATCATATCAGATCTATTATTTATGATTTATTCTTAACAGAAAATATTTTATTTCATCATAAATTGAGAAGTGTAGAGCGGAAACAAAGACAGCTTTTAATACACTGGGACTGTATCCCTTGTAAAGTGCCAAGTATCCTTCTTCCGCAATTATTAATTTGATACAATGTAATAAGCCATTACAATACATTTGCTTCCCAAAACTCTTTCTGTGTTGCTGGAATCCCTGTATTTGCAAACGTTTCTTCATCACATCAAATGGATAAATCACAGTTTTAGCAGTGAAGCCTGCAAATGATCCTGCTATCAAATTGGCCCAAATTGATGATTTTGGTGCATTCTGAGGACTATCTCTCTGGAATTTCTCTACATGTATCAAAATGTGTTCAGTAAAGAGTTTGTAAACAGCAAATTGGACACCTGCATGAGGTGCTATTTGCCCCAATGTTGGAATCAAACCTTTAAAAAGGACCACAGGTCCCTCTGTCTTTATCATTATAGATAATGCATTGAGAAACCCATTGTAGACTTTATTTGTCTTCTGTTCTGCAATCAATCTCGTTCGGACTGTATCGAACGGAAATGAAGCTACTGTGGCAACGGTTGCTGCGATTGAACCATTGCAAAAGTTGATCCAGTGCTTATGATTCGTGTAAAATTGGCGATCGGCACTCTGACACATATCAGTTAGTTTTTCGAAAGTCGCAAATTGAAGGATCCCGTAAGATATAGATAGTAGTTGCGCGGGTATGTGACCACTCCATAACGTAGCAACACCCTCCTCCCTGATTATAGAGCCTAGAGCTTGTAAAATTGAACTGTATTTTGAACCTTGTTTATCTGTGATAGGTTCTACTTGAAGTTGAAATCTTATCTTCAGAACATCTAGAGGCTGGGCTAAAGCTCGAGTAACCGCACCTGCTGCTCCACCGGCAAAAGCAGATTGAAATAAGGTTATCTTCACTTCCGAATCATTTTCTAGTTGCACCATAATAGTATTTTTTGTGAAAACTACTTTTGCTTATGCTCATATAAAACATTTATTTTAATAAGTATATTTATTGTATTTACATTACATTTTCCTAGTAAATAAACTAAGTGAAACAAGACGATTTTTGTTGTGACATAAGTCAAAAGTTCCACACTGTCAACAGTGTCAAACAAGGAGAAAGTTTTTTGTTTGATTTACAGTCCAATGGATGATGGAACGATTGGATTTCACTTCCTTCATTCGATTTTATTCAATCTCTTTACGTTAAATTTTTCTTGTTTATGAGGTGACTTTGATAGTTTTCCAATTACAGCACAAGAGCGCATTATGCGGCATAATGCTCAACATTGAATGTTCCAACTACAGCAACGCTTCGCACAATCGAGCACTCTCAAAAGTACTGCTCTCGCGTGATACTCGCAATCGATACCGACTCAGTAACAGAAAATTTACAAGTGTTTTTTCTTTAAGTTGGCATTGATCAAAATTTTGTTTATATTATCGTTAGTAATATTATTTAATGTTGAAAAAAATTGTAAGGCTTTGGTTTCGTCGTAGTTTCTTAGAAATAATCAATGTTAATTAAAACTGTGCTAACTTAGCGCACTCTGCTGATGCATTTGAAAACTATTCACGTGCCAATTAAGACAGCATAATTCGGCATTGTGCGTCACTGAGTCGCATTATGCTCTGTAATTGGAAAACTACCTTTATTGCTTGATTTCAAAACACATGGCAAGGGATATACTTGATTTTATGTGATTCGTTCCCTTTGGCTTTTTAATTCGACACAATTTTAATCAAAGAGAAACTTTTCCATTAAACTTAGGCATGGGTAAACGTTGGGGAAATCGATTTTTTCCAAAAAAGATCGGTATTTGAATCGATCTAAATGGAACATCGAAGAATTGTTTCGAAAAAAGATACTCAGATGATTTTTTGATCGAAGTAGTATAAAACACATATGAGTCAATAAATTCAGACGTAAATGCCAAATATTAACCAAACAGAAACCAAAGGTCATTTTCATGAGAAAACAAAACTTTTATTTATAAATATTTGCTTTTAAAAATGAAGAAGATTTGTCTTACATTAAGTATGTTCCATGAAACTAGGATAACCTTTCGAGATTACTAGCATAGGTAGTAATAAAAAAAATAATTCCGTACATTACTTACGTGTACTTTAGTAGTAGGTAGTACTAAAAAAAAACCACGCTATTATGTATGAGATACTAGAGTACCAATAACCAAATTGATTGAAGTACTTATCATAGTGAAAAGATTACTTACGAAGATGTATTTTAAATTTTTGATCTGATGGGAAGCAGAAAAAATTTGAAATATGGAAACCGATCTAAAAATAAATTTTTTTTTCTTGAAAAAATCGATTAATCAATGATCGTTCTAAAATCGCCATCCCTTTTGTAAATCATTGAATTTCGTAAATATCATACCTATAATTTTTTTACTAAAACTGAAGTGTATTATTTATTTATGATTTAGTAGTACGGTGAGGTTCAATAAACTAATAAATAAAGAATTTTAGAACGGCGTACCGCTATTTTATAACTCGTACAAATCTCAATAAAGAACAGCATGTCGTCTCCTTTAGAAAATCTTGAAACTCAACTTGAAATGTTCATTGAAAATGTGAGACAAATTCGTATAATCGTCAGTGATTTTCAACCTCAGGGGCAAAGTGTACTGAATCAAAAAATGTAAGTTGAAAACTAACATAAATAATAAAAATTATTGAGAAGGCGGTACGACATGAAAATCCTGTTGTCGTGGCCGCCAGTAATTACGTACTCGATCCGGTGGATCGAATGGTAAACAGTCTACGTCGCCCTAAACACGTCATTACGGATCCTCCCGATTCATTAACGTTGCTTTTAGGCACCTCAAGCACAGATCACCGTCCTCGCCGAACCCGTCGCTTGCGACGAAGGGCTCGAGGAGTAAAGTAACCTAAGGAAACACAGCCCCCCCAGTTTCTCGCCGGATCTTCTCAGTGGGTCGCGTTTCCGATCCGGTGGTAGATTCTGCGAAGCACTGCTCTTGCTAGAGCCAGTGTTAGCAACACTCCCGACTTGAGCCCCGTGAGGTCACCTACACATCAAAGAGAAGCTGAAATAGCCTCTCAAGACTATCAGCAAGGGTAGGAAAAAAGGTGCCTATGTCTCGTATATTGAGTATAGATCTAAAATCTGGAAAACAATCTGCTTTCCGTCGTAAGCAAGATGGCAGTGTCTAAATCTTATAAAAGATATGCACTGCCACCAGTATGTATGCATGTTATTATTTTTGAGAGTTGAATTTAATAGGTCAAATGGTACCATTATACAATAGGTGCCTAGAAGTTTTTAATCATATAAATAATTATCTTTTCCAATTTTTTGTTCTTTAGTCAGTCCTTAGTGACCGGATTGCAGGAAATTGACAAATTGAAGTCACAAGTTCACGATATCCACGTACCAACAGAAGTCTTTGAGTAAGTAAAAGTGAAGAACTTTTATGTTTGCTAATAATGCAGGGAGTAAGAACAGGTAGTCCAAGAAGGTCAATTTGTAAAAAAGGTTGGTAAGTTGGTCTATTGTCGAGTTAGTCTTTTAGGATCAACAATGAAGTTTATGTTTGAAGTGTGTTTGTCAAAATGAAATGATATAAAAGGATTTATTGCAGTTTTTATATGACACAGTAAAATTTTCTATTTCAGTTACATTGATCAAGGCCGTAACCCACAGCTCTACACAAAGGACTGCATAGATAAAGCATTGGCTAAAAATGAAGAGGTGAAAGGAAAAATTGATTCATACAAGCGATTCAAAACTCATTTACTTTCTGAGCTATCGAAGACCTTCCCTAATGAGATTACAAAGTATAAGGCACTTAGGGGTGGAGAATAATTTACTTTTATCACAATGGTGACTTTAATTGAGATATAATAATATCTTAATATATGAGTCTAAACTAAAATAATAATATTATTGTAATGTCATAAATGGTCAAAATGTGCCTAAATGTACATAAATGGCTGTCTGAAGATCGAAGTAACTATGCTCCATGCTACCAACTGGGTGTAGTTTCATTGAAATGACTCCACCGATATTATACTAAAATTGGTCTCCACCAATAAATCTCAAATAAGATGTTTGTATGTTAAAGCATAATAATATTTTTTTATTGCTTAGATGGGTGGATGAGCTCATAGCCCACCTGGTGTTAAGTGGTTACTAGAGCCCATAGACATCCACGACGTAAATGCGCCACCCAGCTTGAGATAAGTTCTAAGGTCTCAAGTACAGTTACAACGGCTGCCCCACCCTTCAAACCGAAACGCATTACTGCTTCATGGCAGAGATAGGCAGGGTGGTGGTACCTACCCACGCGGACTCACAAGAGGTCCTACCACCAGTATGGCATGATTCATGATACAAATATATGTACATAAGTGTACAGTCAAAACAGCCAGCTAAGATGATTTTGCTAGCTCTTATTTTATTTATTTATTGAAGAGTTCTGGCTAATAGAATATAAAATTGGAATTTTTAGAGCAACTGTCAATTTATTTTGGTAAGATAATATAAGCTTAAACATAACAACTTATGTTTAAGCTTATGTCACGGATTGAGCATTAAACAGTAAATACCACATGCACTGGTTTTCTGCAACAAATCCTGCCCTTTTATGTAAGAAATAATTGTAGTTCTCGAAACTTTCTATCATTGGTTTGATGATGAGAAATGAGGTATGTAGCAAAAACAGATCTTTAATTATCTCAGGCCAAGCAATTAAACTGAAGTAGCATATGTAATAAAATACTGCATTACTATAATTATTGTCAAGTTTGTTAATAAAAAGTACATGAAAATAATTATGGTTTTACTGAAATTTAAGAAGAATTACTCTCAAAATACAGAACCAGGTTTCTTTATCTATGTTATGTAATACTTTGAAAATAATTTGAGATGATTCCACTATCTCGTTTTTACCACCGTACCGCCCGCCACCGGAAAGAGTCCATCCATATTACCCAGAACTGCTGCGTTCATCCACTGTGTGCTTCCAGAGATTTTTATTGCCATGTACCAAACGGCTTTGGAATGAGCTCCCCTCTACGGTGTTTCCTGAGCGCTATGACATGTCTTTCAAACAAGGTTTGTGGAGTATTAAACGGAAGGCAGCATCTTGGCTCTGCCCCTGACATTGCCGACGTCCATGAGCGACGATAACCATCATGTGGGCCGTATGCATGTTTTCCTAAAAGGGCAATAAAAAATAAAAATGAAATATTTAGTCAACTGGTGGGTGATGTCATATGTAGGCGATTCCTATTATATGACTAAAATAAAAGGATGTGGCATCGCGAGAGCATCGGTATCGCAGTATTCGACTGATGCATGGCCAGGACCACTGTCAACAGTATACGACTAGGAAGAAGAAGAAGAAGCTAACTATAGAATGTATGAGTATACAACGATTAGCCAAACATGCATTGTGGTTTATATTTAGCTGGAAGTAATTTTATTATTTATTTAATTTTATATTATTAATTTAATGAGAAATGTCGTTTATGTTTTCATTATAAACGGCTGACCCACCTCTCAAACCGAATAAATAATTGCTTCTTGGCAGAAACAGGCCAGTCAGTAGCTACCTACCATTACTACACCATACGAATAAAAAAAATGCGGGTTTGATTTTCATTATATAATGTTATACATACTTTCAACGTTCAAATGTAACAGCTGGAAAATCTGGTCGCTTGATTGACCGAATGGTAAACAGTTGCCGTCATCCTCAACACTTCATTTCGGATCCTCCCGATTCACTATGGCTGTTTTTAGGTACCTCAAGCACCGGTCACGGCTCTGATCGAACCCGTCGCTTGCGACGAAGGGTTCGGCGAGCAAATTAACCCTCAGACACAGCCTACTGAGTTTCTCGACGGATCTTCTCTGTAGGTCGCGTTTCCGATCCGGTGGTAGATTCTGCGAAGTACTGCTTTTGCTAGGGCCAGTGTTAGCAACTTCCCAGGTTAGAGCTCCGTAAGCTCACCTATTCGTTGAGCGAATCTACCATAACCCTTCGAGGTAATTAACTAGGTAAGAAACAAAAAAAAATCCATGAAGGGATTTTTTTTCAATTTTTCCAAAATCCATGAAGGGATTTTTTTTCAATTTTTCCAAAATCCATGAAGGGATTTTTTTTTGTTTCTTGGTATTGGAATATTAGTGGTTTACATACTGCAATTTGCTGTCGCTTGTCGCAGTGGTCACTTAGAAGGAAAATAAGCTGGGCTTCAAACATTAAGTTCTCGACCCTTGCCATTTAAGTAGTTTTTTTTTTATTGCATATTGGGTGGACGAGCTTACAACCCACCTGGTGTTAAGTGGTTACCGGAGCCCATAGACATCTACAACTTAAATGTCGCCACCCACCTCGAGACGTTGGTTGTAAGGTCTCAGTTTTAACAGTACATGAGCTACCCCACCCTTCAAACCGAAACGCATTACTGCTTTACGGCAGAAATAGGCAGGGCCATAGATTATACACTTAATATATTAGAGAGGCAGGGCGGTGGTACCTACCCGTGCGGACTCACAAGGCGTCCTACCACCAGTCATTACGCAAATTATAATTTTACTTCTTACGCTTTTACTGTGTTCGAGCTTACATGTCAGTCTCCTCTCCTCGCACCAGCTTGTCAGCACAGGCAAAAGCTCCTTTATGAAGCCAACAACCAGTAATTACGCAAATTATAATTTTGCGGGTTTGATTTTGATTACACGATGTTATTCCTTCACCGTAGAAGTCAATCGTGAACATTTGTTAAGTAGGTGTTTCAATTTAAAAAATTGGTACCCACATGCGGGATTCGAATACCGGTGAATCGTTCAACACGAATGCAACGGGTGTCTTATCCCTTCGACAACGGTTCGAATCTAATAAGTGTATTCAAATTTAGATACAGATCATATTATAATAAGTATACGTACTTTTTAGTTCATAATATTATTAATAAAGAGGTTTCTGCTAAAGAAGTCCAACTGTTTGCCTTTTTGACAGAATAGCGAAATGAAAGCACGCCAAAGTTCAAATTTCGAATATTTAATTTTATGATACAAAAACATGAATAAATAACTACATTAAAAATATTAAAACAAATTAAAATTTCAAAGCTGACCTAAATAAGTTTTATGAAGATAAAAAGGCAAAATAGAAAATGCAGTGACACATAATGTAGAAAAATAAAATGACGAAAATTAAAGAATGTAGAAACACTTTNTGAAAGCACGCCAAAGTTCAAATTTCGAATATTTAATTTTATGATACAAAAACATGAATAAATAACTACATTAAAAATATTAAAACAAATTAAAATTTCAAAGCTGACCTAAATAAGTTTTATGAAGATAAAAAGGCAAAATAGAAAATGCAGTGACACATAATGTAGAAAAATAAAATGACGAAAATTAAAGAATGTAGAAACACTTTTCTTCTAAAAAGTAGTTTCTATAATTGAAAATTTAAGATTTAAGTAGAAATATAGTAAGAGGACATGGAAAGATGGCAAAGGCCAGCTTCGCCCGTGTATTATTAATTAAAAAACAAATAAAATAAAATCAGTCTACAATCGCAAACTACTATACCTAGTCTTTCCATTTTAAAATTGAATTCAAAATTCAAAGGCATGTTTCTGACGACAGAACACTTGTAAAATATGTTATTGTTAAAATCATAGTTTAAATCCAAGCGATTTTTATAAAATTAGTCAGCCCTCACAGTTACTTGCTTCGCATGCGTACAAAATGTTATTTTTGAATTAGGTCCAAATGTAGCCAGTACTAAAATTACACTATGCATATTTCAGAAGTCAGCGTCTCTTTATTTCCAAACGGGACTGATTTATAGTTTTCTGTAAGATTAACGACTTCTGTGTTACAACACTCATCTTCGTTGATAAGTTTGCTATCAAACTGGGAATAGTTCAAATCTTTTGAACTGAGCCACATATATTTGAACTCTTTGCTGACTGGTTCAACTAGCTTTGGCTTGCTTGTAATGTAGACGTAGTTCCAGTGATCTGACGATCGATCGTTTCCCCAGTTTAGTGTACCTGTCATTAAAACTTTGTCGTCGATCAAACAGAATTTATGTTGCATTGTATACGGTTCTGTATTAATGTACTTGATTACTGCACCTGAAATCAAAGAGGAAGAGAGACGAAATTCTTAACACGCTATGGATTGAAGGTACAGGTGACGGACACCGACATCTTGTTGGCGGGAGAAAATAGATTTTATGTCTGATCTGTCTGATTCTATTTTTATCATTTCAGTATTTCTCGTTAAACTTGCAAATCTTATTACCACCCTATATAAGCCTGGAAGCTCGCAAGTAGTATAGTGTTCAAGCTTTTCTGCTTGACTATGTATAGTCATGTTTATATCGTGAAATAAGTACTATGATAAAAATTCGCTACTCACCAGCATCTAAAAGTTCCTTTATGAAGACATCATTTGGTTCGTTGCACCCGGACTGATCTATTACAATTGAAATCTTGATATTTTTCTTTTTCAGCATTTCAACTAAGCGTCCTTGTATTGCTACATTGTGTATCCCAGGCATACAAACTTTAATGTTATGCTTCGCTGCTTCTATGAAACTCATTAATTTATCGAAACAATTGTAGGCATTTAAATGTAATTTACAAAACACCATGACTTCATTTAATTCTGTGTTTCGACTTTTATAGAAATAGGCTGCTGCGAATACTACACAAGTTAAAGCGAAGGCTGCGGCTGAAGAAAAAATTCGTGGATACAGTTTCATTTTAGTTCACTCCACACATTTAATAGAACTTTTTGGGCATCTNCTCATTAATTTATCGAAACAATTGTAGGCATTTAAATGTAATTTACAAAACACCATGACTTCATTTAATTCTGTGTTTCGACTTTTATAGAAATAGGCTGCTGCGAATACTACACAAGTTAAAGCGAAGGCTGCGGCTGAAGAAAAAATTCGTGGATACAGTTTCATTTTAGTTCACTCCACACATTTAATAGAACTTTTTGGGCATCTACTACGACCGGTCTTGTAATTTTATGCTTTTAAATAAAACAAAGAGGTCAAACCATGTTTAAGTTACGATACCGTGTATTTTTATTCATCTACCTTCAAAAACACAGTTAAAAATACTGTGTTTATAATATTACTTATTAAAAATAATATCTAGCTGATACTTTTTTTTCTTGACAAAATTATAACATCATTATAATTTTATTTAAAAAAAAGCACGTAAAAATAACGTTACAAAATCGGAGCTGGAAGTTCAACAAAGTAATGATTGTAAATTTAAATTGAATTGAATTTTAAAATTTTAAAAACAATCATAATAATGTCCCAGTGAATAATAATAGAATTAATTAAAAAACTGTGTGTTATTGGAAAATGTATTCTTTAATTAATTTGAACGCGAACGCCCTGAGAGAAGCCGAAAACCGAAGAAAATGGAAGCTGATGGTACAAAGAGCCACGAAGGGCTTTCAGGGACACGACCTTCAGCAATGGAGTTTTCGACTAAGAAGAAGAAGAAGAAGAATTAATTAACATTAAGGCTTTCGAAAACATCTTAAGGTCTCTTAAATCTATCATCGATTATTTTCTATTGTAAAAAAAACCAAAAATTTCGGAGATCATAGGAATGCGCTGTCATTGCTGTCAAGTGTCAATGTCAAGTGTTAAATGATAAAAACCCGCATTCCCGCTGTTTGAACTTTTGAAGGAAGAGTAATCAGTAAAGTGCTTACAACTTAGAATAAAAACCAAACATCAAAATGATTCGACAACAACAGTTTAACAAGACGCGAGTAATTAGAGGGTTCCCCGGCTAGTTCCGTAGACAAACTAATTAGCGAACGCGTGTTAATATTTGTTAATATGGGTATCACTGGTTTGATACCATTTATTGAAAAGGCTTCCCGCCGGACTGATGTTAGTGAATTCAGCGGTTGTACAGTTGCTATTGATTCTTATTGCTGGCTTCATAAAGGAGCTTTTGCATGTGCTGACAAGCTGGTGCGAGGAGAGGAGACTGACATGTAAGTTTGAATACAGTAAAAGCGGTAAGAAGTAAAATTATAATTTGCGGAATTACTGATGGCAGGATGTCTTATGATTCCGCACGGGTAGGTACCACCACCCTGCCTATTTCTGACATGAAGAGGTAATGTGTTTCGGTTTTAAGGGTGGGGCAGCCCTTAATTGTAAAAACTGAGACCTTAGAACTTATATCTCAAAGTAGTTGGTGGCATATACGTTGTAGATGTCTATGAGCTCCGGTAACCACTTAACATCAGGTGGGCTGGGAGCTCGTCCACCCACCTAAGCAATAAATAAAAGAAATAAAATTGAATGTGACATTTACTAGATCAAGTCAAAAAATGAGGTCCAATCAAATCTACAGGATGTAATAAAAAATTTCCTGACAACAAATATAGGAATATTCATGATAAAAAAAATTTGCACTGTTTCATAATTAAAATGATCTAATATGCTGAATCTATGAGTCAAATGCTTAAAGTCAAGAAAGCTACTTGTATTTGCTTAGCTTAATAAGTAAATATTATTTTCTGTTTATGTATTATTTAAGTATTTTAAGGTCTCTAAATTGTCCCATTACATCATGTATTTATTTTATAACAAGTATACAACATTTATTTTGCAGGCATATAAAGTACTGTTTGAAATATGTGACAATGCTTCTGTCTAAGAACATAAAACCGATCTTAGTATTTGATGGACGACATCTCCCAGCTAAAGCAATGACAGAATCAAAAAGGCGAGAGTAAGTTATATTTTCCAGTTTTTATTGTCTACCTGTACATGTAGTTTCTACTTGTGTGTGATGACCACATTAAAATATGTATATCTGAAATAAATATTAGAATAAACCAATCTTATCGAACATATTTGAAGTATTTCTTCCTTTTCTCATGTACCAAGTAACCGAGGAAAATAGGTTAGCATGTACTGTTATTATGTATGTTATGTCCAAATTGCTGGCTAATTTTGGCATCTCCGGGAACCAATCTGAATTTTTATATGCAGTGAAGCTCATGGATGATCTAATAATAGCTGGCACTTGGTTTATATACAGGGTGTCCCAGAAAGAAAGGATAAACACCTCATAGTAGAACTACTGGGGACACAAAAAAAATGTCTTAGGTAGTACCCAAATTAAAAATAAAGAAAAAATACAAAATTTCATGATTGAATTTAAGTTCAGATTAACTTTAAAAAAACGTAAAACTGATTTAACTTTGATCCGATTAATAAACCAGCTTTAAATACAGTCCACTCTTATTGATATAAGCCTTGCACCCAACATCCATCGCAACGGCGCCAACAGTAGTTGCTACTTATTCTAATATAATTAATTATTTTATTCTATCTATATACAATTCAGTATACAAACACTCAAAGCAATCAAACCATATGACAGCATTATGACAATTGCTGAACAAAATGATGGCACACTCTTGTAATAATGTTCTCTAAGGAGTCTTTTACCACAAATATTTCATTGGATACTTTTTTTATCTATCTAGTTCTATTCAAATGTTCACTGCAATGTAATGTGTTATTTTGCAGATCTCGAAATATTTCAAAGAAAAGGGCAGCAGAGCTTTTAAGTTTAGGAAAGGTAAGTAAATGCTTATAAATTAACAGAACAATTCTTTTTAGATTAAAATTATTTATTTCGATGCCGGGTAAAGTAGTGGAGGAGAATGTGTTTCAGGCTTTCATTGTGTAGTTAATTTACATACACATGGCTTAAAAAATGCCCTACCTAAACAAAACTATTTATGGATGGGGTTAAGAACTAACCCATCGTTCCTTATCTTAGAATTTAATGTATAAAGTTTTAAGTGTTAAAAGTATGACATGAGAATATTTTTCAATAATAATAATTTAATTTCGTATTAAAAGTCGTATTATAAATCACAAACATTACATCTGCTATCCTCAGATAGAAGAAGCCCGTTCATACCTGCGTCGTAGTGTCGATATCACTCACGCCATGGCACTGGATCTTATTAAGGAGTGCAGGAAAATGAATGTAGATTGTATTGTCGCTCCATACGAAGCAGACGCTCAGTTAGCCTACCTCAACATAAAGAACATAGCACAATTAGTGATAACTGAAGATTCTGATCTCATACTGTTTGGATGTACTAAGGTAATACGTATATAAATTATTATTATTATTATAATTTTTTCTTCCTTTGCTGATAGTAGCTATATCAGCGTTACCTTAGCGTGTAGGTGAGCTCTCGGGGCTCAAACCAGGAGGTGTAGCTAACACTGGCCCTAGCAAGAGCCGTGCTTCGCAGAATCTACCATCGGATCGGAAACGCTCACTGAGAAGATCCGGCGAGAAACTCAGTCGACTGTATCTATGGGTTCATTTACTCGCCGAGCCCTTCGTTGCAAGCGACGGATTCGGCGAGGACGGTGACTGGTCCTTGAGGTACCTAAAAGTACCGTTAATGGATCGGGAGGATCCGTAATGACGTGTAAAATCAGAGATACGGTTATAATACTTGTGAATGTGGAATTATAAAATAGATGCTTTCAAACAATTTTTTATTGGACATAAAACTGATTTACAAAAATTGCAATTTAATATTCAATAAATTAGCTCTTATCAAAATTTTTGTTAAAGATAGTGTAGGTTAAAAACAAATGTCAATATGTAATGGGAATTCACAAAATTGTTTTTAGGTCCTCTTCAAAATGGATCTCCATGGTACAGGAACTCTGGTTGAAACGTCGAAGTTACCTCACGTAATGAAATGTCCGATACAACACTACACTTTTGATAAATTCAGGAGGATGTGCATAATGTCTGGATGTGATTACCTAGCCTCATTACCAGGCATAGGATTGGCTAAATCTAGACAATTCGTTGTTGCAACACAGGATCCAAATTTTGCTAATGTAAGTGTTTTATACCAATTACCAAGCAGACACCAGTGCAGAAGGAGATCCTTACGCGGAAGTGGCATTTGATTGGTCACATACTGAGAAAGCCCGATACCCACCTATCAAAGAGAGCACTGACCTGGAAAGTGTCTGGCAAAGGGCAGAGAGGCCGCCCCAGAACAACTTGGCGTCGCTCGGTGGAGCAGGAGATAGGGGTCTTGGGCATGACGTGGGAGGATCTAGAACAGACTGCCCAAGACTGATGTAAATGGAAGGGTTTGAGGCAGAGGGTAATAGGAAATAATGATGATGATGTTGAAGTGCTTTATAAGTACACTATTGATAAGGCTATGTGAAAGCCAGTATGGGCTGTTACAGTTGTTCAGGCAATTTATGGTGCCATAATGTGTAGTTATTGTTCCATTACAACTTTGACTTTTCATGTCTCATTGTGTGTAGTGATGTTTCCAAACTTTCGTCACACAATCATATCGTATAAACTGAAATTTTTCATTTATTTATATAAATAGGAAATAATGTATTTAATAATATTGGTTATCTTTTTTTTAATGCTTTTTTTTAAATATCTTATTTAGATTACCTTAGATTAGCAACATATTATAGAAATACTCAGTGGAGCTTTCGTACATACCATTTATGATTACGCACTTAAACTTAACTTATTATAATAGCACCGATTTTGAAACCTTGAATTTGCAACATTTGCTGGAAAATATAATAATATCTATCTAATTAGTGATTTGTCAAACATCATTACAATGTAAATAAAGTTCTTATTATGTCATACCATCTGTTCTATTTGATGATATAAATAATACTTAGTTGTTTGATTGTGTAATGAAAGCGATTTTTTTAAGTTATGTGTTAAAATTTGACAGTAGTTAGCACAATATTCAACACTAGACGATTAATAGGCTGACTGACCGTGACCCCAAATACTAGAGAATACGAAACGTCGGAAACAATAAACACGGGAAACCTTGAAAACAGTAATGTTTTATCACATCAACAACCTCACAAGTGCCTAAATACACTGGTTTTTTTTATTGATTAAAAAAACAGCAGTGGACAAACTCAAGGTTCAATTGGTGTTCAGTTGTAAGCGGAACTCATGGATATCAACAAAGTGAATGCCGCTGCCTGCCTTGAGACATGAATTTTATAACGTAACAGCTGCCTCACCCTGCAAGCCGAAATGCATTACTGTCTCACGGCAGGGCGCGGGCTCACGGGACACACTCTCATGACTCAAATTATAAAGTTGCTTACACTACATTAAGTTCTTTTTCTTTTTTACAGGCTTTAAGAAAACTGCCAAATTTTTTCAATCGGATGTCGTTGATCGTTACCGACGAATACAGAGAGAATTTCCTAAAAGCGGAAGCCACATTCAAACATCAGTATGTCTATGATCCTATTGAAAGGAAAATGCTGAGGCTGACTGAACCAGACGATGAAGGTACAGTTATGTTTTTGTATAGACCTCTAAATATTCAATAGTCACCGCTGCTGGAGCAGATACATATTATTATATGGATAATATTATTTGGCATGACATACATGACTTCTATGACATAGTAGTAGAATAGTTTTGTTCGTTTTAATTTCGCATGAAGAAGATGGTGTGTGCTTGTTCTGATTTTGATTAGTCTTCAGCATTTCGAAGTCGTTGTGGCCTAAAGGATAAGACGTCCGGCACATTCGTATCTAGCGACGCACCGGTGTTCGAATCCCGCAGGCGGGCACCAATTTTTCTAATGAAATACGTACTTAACAAATGCTCACGATTGACTTCCACAGTGAAGGAATAACATTGTGTAATAAAAATCAAACCCTCAAAATTATAATTTGCGTAATTACTGGTGGTAAAACCTCTTGTGAGCCCGCACGGGTAGGTACCACCGTCCTGCCTATTTCTGCTGGGAAGCAGTAATGCGTTCCGGTTTGAAGGGTGGGGCAGCCGTTGTAACTATACTGAGACCTTAGAACTTACATCTCAAGGTGAGTGGTGCATTTACGTTGTAGATGTCTATGGGCTCCAGTAATCACTTAACACCAGGTGGGCTGTGAGCTCGTCCACACATCAAGGCAATAAAAAGAAGAGTCGTCGTGGTCTAAGAGATAAGACAATAATAAAAAATAAAGAATAATTACTAAAAAAATATATATATTTGTAAGCTTGAGGGTAGACATTATCTTGTTGAACACCAAGTAAAACGATCTCACTTTTTGATTCCTGATTTAATCAACAATATGTTATCTTAACAATTCACTTTAACACTTGTCCAACTTTAACCAGTACGTACAACAGTCACTGAATCACACAACGTAACAAGGATATAGTAAGTGCACCAGGCAAGCGCAGTCCAACGAATGTTCATTGCATTTTTTTTTTTTTTTTTTTTTTTCCTACCTAAGCTGATAGCCCTAGCGGCTATTTCAGCGTAGCCTTAACTTTAGTAGGTGAGCTCACGGGGCTCAAACCTGACGATGTTGCTAACACGAACCCTAGCAAGAGTCGTGCTTCGCAGAATCTACCACCGGATCGGAAACGCGACCCACTGAGAAGATCCGGCGAGAAACTCAGTGNTGTATTTTCATATATTTGTTAGTCGTTTGTTTTGTGTCTCGTTAATTTGTTAATAATCTGTAGTGTATCGTGTTGTCGTAATATAGAACTATTTCTCGTATTGTTTCGTTTAATTTTTTATATCCAGTAAACTCCAGTCGTGCGTCGGAGCGGACACACACACATTTTTTATTTTTCTTCCTTTGCTGATAGTAGCTATATCAGCGTTACCTTAGCGTGTAGGTGAGCTCTCGGGGCTCAAACCAGGAGGTGTAGCTAACACTGGCCCTAGCAAGAGCCGTGCTTCGCAGAATCTACCATCGGATCGGAAACGCTCACTGAGAAGATCCGGCGAGAAACTCAGTGGACTGTATCGATGGGTTCATTTACTCGCCGAGCCCTTCGTTGCAAGCGACGGATTCAGCGAGGACGGTGACTGGTCCTTGAGGTACCTAAAAGTACCGTTAATGGATCGGGAGGACCCGTAATGACGTGTAAAATCAGAGATACGGTTATAATACTTGTGAATGTGGAATTTAAAACAGATGCTTTCAAACAATTTTTTATTGGACATAAAACTGATTTACAAAAAATGCAATTTAATATTCAACAAATTAGCTCTTATAAAATTTTTTGTTAAAGATAGTGTAGGTTAAAAACAAATGTCAATATGTAATGGGAATTCACAAAATTGTTTTTAGGTCCTCTTCAAAATGGATCTCCATGGTACAGGAACTCTGGTTGAAACATCGAAGTTGCCTCACGTAATGAAATGTCCGATACAACACTACACTTTTGACAAGTTCAGGAGGATGTGCATAATGTCTGGGTGTGATTACCTAGCCTCATTACCAGGCATAGGATTGGCTAAATCTAGACAATTCGTTGTTGCAACACAGGATCCAAATTTTGCTAATGTAAGTGTTTTATACCAATTACCAAGCAGACACCAGTGCAGAAGGAGATCCTTACGCGGAAGTGGCATTTGATTGGTCACATACTGAGAAAGCCCGATACTCACCTATCAAAGAGAGCACTGACCTGGAAAGTGTCTGGCAAAGGGCAGAGAGGCCGCCCCAGAACAACTTGGCGTCGCTCGGTGGAGCAAGAGATAGGGGTCTTGGGCATGACGTGGGTGGATCTAGAACAGACTGCCCAAGACCGATGTAAATGGAAGGGTTTGAGGCAGAGGGTAATAGGAAATAATGATGATGATGTTGAAGTGCTTTATAAGTAAGTACACTATTGATAAGGCTATGTGAAAGCTGGTATGGGCGGTTACAGTTGTTCAGGCAAATTTATGGTGCAATAATGTGTAGTTATTGTTCCACTACAACCGTGATTTTTCATGACTCATTGTGTGTAGTGATGTTTCCAGACTCTTATCACACAATAATCACCGTATAAACTGAAATTTTTCATTTATTTATATTAATAGAAAATAATGTATTTAATAATATTGGTAATCTTCCTTTAATGCTTGAAATATCTATTTAGATTAACTTAGATTACCATCAAATTAGAGATACTCAGTTGGGTTTTCATACATACCATTTATGATTACGCACTTAAACTTAACTTATTATAATAGCACCGATTTTGAAACCTTGAATTTGCAACATTTGTTGGGAAATATAACAATATCTATCTAATTAGTGCTTTGTCAAACATCATTATAATGTAAAAAAGATCTTATTATGTCATTCCGTCTGTTCTACTTGATGATATAAATATTACTCAGTTGTTTCATTGTGTAATGAAAGCGATTTTCCAAATTATGTCCATAATAATGATCTTATTTAATTTTTTAAGTTATGTGTTAATATTTGACGGTAGTTAGCACAATATTCAACACTAGACTAGTACGCTGGCCGGCCGTGACCCCAAAAACTAGAGCATACGAAACGTCGGAAACAATAAACACGGGAAACCTTGAAAACAGTAATAATGTTTTATCACATCAACAAACCTTATAAGTGCCAGCCTTGAGACATGAGTTTTATAACTTAACGGCTGCCTCACCCTGCAAGCCGAAATGCATTACTGTCTCACGGCAGAAATAGGCAGGGCGCGGGCTCACGGGACACACTCTCATGACACAAATCATAAAGTTGCTTACACTACATTAAGCTCTTTTTCTTTTTTACAGGCATTAAGAAAACTGCCAAATTTTTTCAATCGGATGTCGTTGATCGTTACCGACGAATACAGAGAGAATTTCCTAAAAGCAGAAGCTACATTCAAACATCAGTACGTGTATGATCCTATTGAAAGGAAAATGCTGAGGCTGACTGAACCAGACGATGAAGGTACAGTTATGTTTTTGTATAGACCTCTAAATAGTCAATAGTCACCGCTGCTGGAGCAGATACATATTATTATATGGATAATATTATTTGGCATGATATACATGACTTCTATGACATAGTAGTAGAATAGTTTTGTTCGTTTTAATTTCGCACGAAGAAGATGGTGTGTCCTTGCTCTGATTTTGATTAGTCTTCAGCATTTCGAAGTCGTCGTGGCCTAAAGGATAAGGCGTCCGGTGCATTCGTATCTAGCGATGCAACGGTGTTCGAATCCCGCAGGCGGGTAACAATTTTTCTAATGAAATACGTACTTAGCAAATCGTCACGATTGACTTCTACGGTGAAGGAATAACATTGTGTAATAAAAATCAAAACCCGGCAAATTATAATTTGCGTAATTACTGGTGATAGGACCTCTTGTGAGTCCGCACGGGTAGGTACCACCACCCTGCCTATTTCTGCCTTAGAACTTATATCTCAAGGTGGGTGGCACATTTATGTTGTAGATGTCGCTGGGCTCCAGTAACCACTTAACAACCAGGTGGGCTGTGAGCTCGTCCACCCATCTAAGCAATAAAAAGAAAAGTCGTCGTAGTCTAAAAGATAAGACAATAATAAAAAATAAAGGATAATTAGTAAAATGTATATATATTTATGTATGTTTCAGATACAGAGAAAGCGCTCTGCGTGAACGCAGGAGATCTGTTAGAAGCGGATACAGCGTTTCAATTAGCGTTGGGTAATTTAGATCCGTTTACGTTGAAGAAGATGGACGATTGGCATCCAGACTTTAGGAAAGCTGTAAGTGTAATTTTTATGTTAATCTATGGTCAGCCGGCTCTTGTAGCTTAGACCACGATTTTTTGTGAAAACCCTTTTTTCCCCTACCTATTCGTTGGTAGCCTAAGGGGCTATTACAGCTACATACGGACGGGTAGGATCGGAATCGCGACCCACTGAGAAGATCCGGCGAGAAACTCAGTGGGCTAAATCCCTATGACAATGCTCATACTATTGTCAAACTCGATGCTGTGTTAGCATGTTGTCCATCACGACAACTCGAAAGCATATACAGGTTTAAAAATAAAAGGATATAAGATAAGAAACAATAAAAATAAAAACTACACACGAATCAGTTTAAAATGATTCTTGCTGTAAACTAAATTGGAGTGTGTCTGTTTCTGATCTCGAGAATAATAATTATTAATATGTCTGGAACTAAGTTCTTGCTGTTTGTCAATAGATGGCAGCAGCGGTCTGTGTCGCTAGAACATTGTGGACCAATCTTTGACACATGGCAAACAATTCGCTTCGACACATCAGTGATTGTGTTGTGTGAAAATGTCTTGAGTTTGTACCAACTATGCGTCATTTGCGGGTAGTTTTACTGTACTTCTTTAATTCGAAGGGAACTTTAAAGTATTTCAAAGACCATCGTTCCGATGTTCACAACCGTCTACTTGAAGGATAGACTTCGGAAGACACTGGATTGGAACTATAGCTCAACGAGGATACGTATCAAAGGCAAGATCAAGCCCGCTTCAACATTAGATCTTATTCTTCGTCTTCCTAGCGTTATCCCGGTCTAGTGCCAGGTTCCGTTTTCCTACGTTTGTGCTATGCATCCTACTACTAGTATTACATCTATATATCGCACATACGGTGCGATAACGTCACTTTATGCAAATTATGTAATTTTTCACGAGAAACGTTAGAAAATTCAACATCTTATTATATTGACGCTTGAAAGGCAAACGTGACTAAGCGACAATAACTGCTTTGTACATAAATGATAGGCAATAACCATTTTCGATGCGCAAAAAAAATTATATTTCTAGGTCTATTAAAATCATTTCAATCCTACAGCTAGATTCGTTAAAATATAACTTTTTTTCAAGTATTTCATCTTTAAATTAGTCTAGTGTAAAGTTCACGCATTGTCGCTTAGTCACGTTCGCCTTTCAAGCGTCGATATAATTATTAAATAGTTCTCTTAGGCTATAGAAATAACACGATAATATCTAAACTATAACTTTAAACTCAATCAGTAAAAGGAAATATCTCTCTCGTCTCACTAATAACTATTAAAAAATGTATTTTCTTATACTCGGTTCAGTGTTAACAAAAATTGCATAAGTGACTTCATAGCACCGCACATGCGATATTAATACTTGAAGTAAAAAGTTTGTGCCCCGCATATGCGATATTAATACGTGAAGCAAAAACTTTGTACCCCTTTTTTTACGAAAATTACGCGGACGGAGGAGTATGAAATTTCTCACACTTATAGAGAATATATATACATTATTGATTATAAAAAAAAAAAATTACACACATTACCATGTATTTGACACACACACGCATGCATACTATTTGTTTATTGTCAAACTTTTCTTATTGCTTATAGTCTGTGGTCAAATTAAGAATAGATTAAATATTGTTCGTCTTTATTAATATTTGTTTAAAGTGTAGTCTTGGCGAAATCTGTGATTATAAAACTCTGACAATAAAATCATAATAGTGTACAAACTTATAATTTCAATTAATTATAGTCGATGGCTACTGGGGGACCACTAATAAATATTAAAATTTAATTCAAGGTACAATACCCTCAGAACAACTGTTGGATAGAGAGGGAAGTGTCCGCGCATCCCAGTATATGGTCGCCGACGTTCGTTTCGTATTTGAATAGTACGAGACCTTGGCAGAAACCAGCGAAGGCTGAGCCCTTGTTCGCTATACAGACTACAGCCAGGAGAAAAATAGTCAATCTTGTTAGTAAGCACGTGCCGGAGACACAGGATGAAAGGTAATAGTTATTTCAGCAGCCTGTAGTATTACTGATTAATGATCTGTTCGATAATCAGAATATAAGTCTACAGTTAATTGCGAGATAAACAATTGTCAAAGTAGACATATTTTTATCTTATTTTCTAACTTAACCTTTATACAGGTAACCCTCCTATAACACTGTTTACCTATAACACATTTTATAACACGGTCGCTCTAACTCTAAAGTTCGTCTGAGGTCGTTGAACTCACGCGACAGATGATTTTTATTTGTGCATTGCAGTGCAGTGCATTGTATGCAATCTAAAAATCCCTAAAAAAAAATATTTACAGATTATTATTATCATAGAAATCGCCAGACTACCATTTTATTTTTGGGAGTTTTTTTTCTATATTTTTTATTGCATAGATGGGTGGACAAGCTCACAGCCCACCTGGCGTTCAGTCGTTACCGGAGCCCATAGACATCTACAACGTAAATACCGCCCACCCACCTTGAGACAAGAGTTCTTTTATTTATTTATTTTATTTATACTTTAACAAAAAAAAAACCTTAAACTCTATGGTCTCAGTATAGTACATAAATATATCTTAGTTTGACTTTTTGTTTCAGCTTGTCAATCCAAGCACTGAGTTCCATGTACTGCGTAGAGCCAACAAACAAGAGACATAAGACGGACGACGATATTGAAATCATCACAAGCGTCACCAATGAACATGACGCGCCGTCGGACATTGAGAATAAAGATAAATCACCGATATTAGAAAACAGAGAGAGGTCGTACAAGAAATGCTTAAGAAACAATAACGTATTGAGGAAGTTTAGTAGATTTCCGAGGACTGTGTTGGACGAAAACGTCGTTGAGAGCAGATTCTTCACGGCCAACGTGAAGGTTGAGGATAATGTTAATGACAGAACCGGATCTACGCGAAATCCTTTTAAAATACGTTCGCCCGAAGCGAACAAGGTGACGGTGCGATCGGATAACGAGTTAATAAGTGATCGGATTCCGAGTCCAATATTGGATCCAGTCTCGATTAAACTTGAAAAGTTGGCCGATTCGCCGCCAACGTTGGACGTAAACACGGAAGACTCCGTCATAGAGAACACTTATCCATACGAGACGTTGGTCACTCCAGTTGATAGTCAGGTATGCTAATGTTTGTTATGCTAGTTTATATTGGTTAGGTTCTGTCGAATCCGACTTGCCTGTAAGTGTTGTTATAGTTATTTTTCGAAATGAGGGCATGGATATCCACAGTTTTATTTTTTATTTTTTTTATTGCCCTTGTAGGCAGACGAGCATACGGCCCACCTGATGGTGAGTGGTTACCGTCGCCCATGGACTTCAGCAATGCCAGGGGCAGAGCCAAGCCGCTGCCTACCGCTTAATACTCTCCACAAGCCTCGTTTAAAGAAGAACATGTCATAGCGCTCGGGAAACACCGTGGAGGGGAGCTCATTCCATAGCCGAATGGTACGTGGCAAAAAAGACCTCTGGAAACGCACTTTCGATGACCGCAGTGGCGAAATTAACTCACTATATCACGAAATAGATAAAACAAAACAAATCACACAACTTCACTCCTCGCGTTCCCGCCATAAAGTCTACAATGAACTCGGATCATAAGTTTTCATCTACCCACATAACGAAATAAAAACCTTACCTAATCATTATCATTATGTTCATTAAACTGTCATTTGATTGTGCAGGAATCGTTCGGTGAGTCGGCATCAGTAGTTTCATCTCAAGACAGCGGCGTAGTCCTAGATGTAACAAAAACTAACCGGCCGACCACGAAGCCGACCGGTACCAAGAGGCCCGGATGCAGAGTACCCGGATTAAGGAAAGCGACATCCGTGCCGAACAACCAGCCCACGCTACTGAGTAAATTTGGATTTCAGAAAAAGTGAGTATCATTGGATTAGGTTTTTATTGGAACGAAGTTTCTTATTGGACGATGCGGAGGGGTACCCTAACCGGGAAAAAACGTGCGTAACGTAAGATTTTTATTAGTAATGCACACAGTGTACGAATTAACTTTGTAATAACATACAAAAAATAACATACTTTTATCATTCATTGACCACGATCTCAGAGCGTGCGTTTGCGCAATACACTAACTCTTATGCAAACAACCGTGAATGAAGTGTACCACAATAAGTTCGCACGTTACCGAATGAACGTGGGTTGTTGCGAAACCTCCAGTTTTATTTTCTTTATACCTCGAATAGAACTTAAAATTAATATTTTTATAATAAGAAACTTCGTTCCTATCCATATTTTTTTTTATTTATTGCTTAGATGGGTGGACGAGCTCACAGCCCAATCGGTGGACATGCATAGATAAAAAATGGTGGTCGAATTAATAGCCTCCTCTTTTGAAGTCGGTTATAAAGCGTGATTTTGGTACTTTGAATAGCTCCTTAACATTCTTATCATTCTCCTGCCCTTCTCCCAGTCACCTGGGGTCGACGCAACATGTTTTCTCCTTCCATACTCTTTTATCATATACCATTTCTTCGCTCGGTGTTAAGTAGTTACCGGAGCCCATAGACATCTACAACGTAAATCCACGTAACCCAGCTTGAGATATAAGTTCTAAGGTCTCAGTATAGTTACAACGGCTGCCCCGCCCTTCAAACCGAAACGCATTACTGCTTCACATCAGAAATAGGCAGGGTGGTGGTACCTACCCGTGCGGACTCACAAGACGTCCTACCACCTATTGTAGGTGTAGATTACTGTTATTCATCAACAAATAAAAGTTAGTTTTAGTGAGGAAAAAAAACAGAAGTTTCTCACGGACATTCTGTAGGAATGGAGTCTTCAGCCTCAGTCACTTAGTGATACTACTGGAACTGTTGGTGAGAATGGTCATAGCTGAAGAAGTAGGCTCGTATATACTAAGACGATTGGAAAACCCTTTGTTTTATTATCGATTTTCTTTTTCCAAACAAAAAACTTTTTAAAATCAATGTTCTATTAAATCTTGTGTCTATTCATTTTCAGAGTCGCTTTGAAGAGATGACTTTAAAGATTTGTTTAGAAGACTAGTCAAAGGACGTGTGAAATGTAAACTTTAAGCATTTATGAAAGTGCCTTATTGTAATAGTTGAATTAAGTTTATAAGTGTAAATAATGATTTTAAATTAAGAATTTCGAGATTATTTGTTTTACGGTGTTTGACGAAGCAGCAAATTTAAGAACGGAGCTAAAATTATAAATAAATCCAAAATACAGTGGGAAAAAAGAAAAAAATGTTTATTAAATTGCTAATTAATATTTTGCATTTGTTTGTGATAATATCGACGTACAATATAATATATAATACTTTACTATACTTTACTATAATAATCACTAAAGATCATTTAGGTTTTAAGATGTGACTCTATGAAGTTATTTTAATGAATCTCTGATTGAACCTTCCTCAATAATTTTTTTTTCGTTTAACAATAGTAAAAAAAATCACTTGTTTGGAATTGTGTCAGTGGATTAAGAAACTCCAAAAAAATCTTGATTATAATAAAACAATCAATTATAATACATAATTATAATTGTAGTATGTTTGTCTTACTATGTTTCGTAACGGACTTTGTTGATTGTGATAATAAAATAAATAATAATTATTGTTTTTTATTTTTTTATACATCTTCATTGGACGTTTTTTGCAGTAAGTAATCGCTTTTTTGGTTATTTTGCCTGGAGGTCATTCCGGTTTCATCAGGATACAGGAGGGGTGGGATTTGCTAACAGCAGTCCAAGCGTCTTCCAAAGCGATTTAGCTATTTAAGGGCAGATGCTTCGCGAATAAATCTACTGACGGATCGAAATTGCGACCAGTTAACTAGATTTAGCGAGAAACTCAGAGGGCTTTATATATTACCCTTCATGTTATATTTAAATTAGCGGACTTAATGCTTAAGGCCTTCTCAAACTCTTTTTTTTATGGGATTTTAAGACCTGGTAACTAAGACCTTTAAGTCATATCTTATTTTAATTTATATTATTATTTTTATGAAAAACGATAATATGGAGTGAAATGAAATGAAATGAAGATGAATAATTTGAGACATTAATCAACTGGGATGAAAAGAGGTGAGATGATATGGAGTGAAAAATAATCTCAGTAAAATGGTGGTCATTTACTGAAGTTTTTTCAGTGGACTTTTTGGGAGGTTCCCGTGAAGTTACGTCCAGCGACCTAGTTTCATCTTCCCACATTTCGATGCCTCCAATGAACACTACGCTAACTCCAAATTCGTAGATTTACAGGAGGAGCATTTAAACGAAAAAAGTTGATAAAATCTTTATTATTGCAGATATATTTATGGTTTTTTTGTGTAGCTAGCTGATTTACCCTTGCTTTGAACCCCATCAATAATGATTAATTGTAATACTTTTAACATAGTGAAGCGATTTGCGTGAAAAACGAAAATTTCAAAATTTTTAGTTAGAGTAGTGTTCATTGGAGGCATCGATTTGTGCACTTTCACAGATATTAAATAGTTAATAAACCACCGTTATTACACATTTAAACCTGAAGAAACACCAAATAGACAAACTTCAACACAACTTCACTCCTCACGTTCCCGCCAAAAAGTCCCTCTTTAACTGTCAACCAAAGATAGTGCAGAATAAATACTGGTATGTGCATTGAAAATGTATGGCTTAGTTTGCAGTTAGAAGTACGGTTACTAGGGCCCCAATGCAGGCTTCATGCGGTAGAGCAGCAGGCGTCTAATGAAAATGTTAGTGGAACTGATGGAAGGCATTTTCGTACTCGCTGGGCAAGATAATGTATGCGACGGTCGTCTTTCAAAGCCGCGGCACGTTTATCGCCGTTGACAAATGCGAACATTGAGGAACTGCTGCCGACGTGTGTAACGCTTTCAATGGTGACGTCAAAAACACTGCCTCTGGCTGTTTTAAGGTGTTGTAAGGATGCCGCCATAAAAAATACCGGTCGTAGATATTGCGAGCATATAAGATCAGGTTTTTCGGTTCGGCCATTATGCTATGGAGCTCATACCTCATGTCTCAAGAGGGTGACGAAATCACTTAATACGAGATTGGCCGTGAGCCGTTCGCCTAACTACCTAATAAATAAATAAAAAGTCTCGAATAAACATAAATTATAATCGAAAACGTATAAGTCTTCAAACAGGATACGGAAATCAATATCATGTTCCATTGAAACTCGTGATGGCGACGCAAAATTTAATTACACGCTAAGTGGAGAATACTTATTCAAATTAACCCGTGGGACTAAACAATGGCAACATTCATTCGAAACCAATTTAAATTGGGGCGCCCGGAAAGGATTAAATTACTCTAGTAAAAATTAAAATGCAGGGAATTCCCTTTTAAAAAATGACCATGGCGTTTTTTAATATTTTTTGTTCTATAGTGTGTGCTATATAATGTTATATAATTTGTTGTGTTATGTAATGTTATTTGTTATTTACTATGCGCAATACCGAAATCCGCAGGAGAACTGGTTTGACTGACACAGCAAAAGTCATTGGTCGGAAAAAGTGGAAGTGGGCCGGCCACATATGCCGTCGTACTGACAATCGGTGGGGCACAAAAGTACTGGAGTGGAGACCTCGTACTGGACATCGTAAAGTGGGCAGACAGCCAACGTGGTGGATCGATGACCTCGTCAAAGTGCTTTGTAGAGACTGGATGTGAAAGGCCAGAGACCGAAGAGAATGGGGTGCATTCGAAGAGACCTACACTCAGCATTAGGCGGACACGGATTGAAGAAGAGACTACCGGACTTCGAATAAAGCTGGTGATTTAAAGTATTCATTATGAATTCGATATTCTACATAATATGAATATGTAATAGATTAATATTGTACATAAAATATACGGAAGTTTTTAACAAATTTGAAGAAGACCGGTGCCTATTTATATTAAGGAAAAAAAGTAAAGTTATTAAATTAGAAAAAAAATATTGACGCTCACATTTTTTAACGCTAAAATCGATCACCGTATCACATTTCTTTCTCGTGCCGGCTAAATTTCCATATTCTGCTCCAACGGAAATTCAAACAAAGTCAAATATCCGTAACCCCACAGCACAGGGGTGTATTCAGAATCACTTTAAATATCCTGAACATTTAATGTTTTTTTTGGCGTGTGTGTGTGTTGTAATTTAAGACCTTGAATAATCGAAAAAAATAATCAATAATAAATACTTATTATTATTCATGATTAAGCGCAGTTCAATAGGGTCAACTGGTATTATTAGTGTCTATAGACTATTTTTTTAGATAGATTTATTAGTCATCAAAAGCCACGAGTGAAATTTCGGGTGGGATAATTTTTAAATAGTTAGTTCAACGGGCTTATTTCATAATTACATTCGAGTACGGACCTGCCCGTGCTTCTCAAAGAAATGAGGTTCAATTTCATTTGCACACGACATAAGGAGGGGCCAGCTAAATTAATTTTGTACCCGATACCCTGTACTTTTCACGTACGGTTTTATTAGATTTTAATGTACTCGTCGGTGAAGCCTCTAAGACTTAGAATATTTCTTACCAATTACGTTGTAACTCTGAGATTCATGGAGAGTGTATTTCTAATGCTATTTTTATATAAGGTATATATATTTATTTATATACCTATAATAATATACCTTTTGATTTTGATTGTTTTTTTTTATTTATTACCCTTGTAGGTAGACGAGCATACGGCCCACCTGATGGTGAGTGGTTACCGTCGCCCATGGACTTCAGCAATGCCAGGGGCAGAGCCAAGCCGCTGCCTACCGCAAAATTTCCATCAAAAGTTTTCGTTGCATTTTAGGTGAAAAAATCTTTGACACTTTTATTGTAGAAATGTCCAAACTGAACACTATTTTATTGATGTGGATATTTTTATTAAAATAAAAACTCGAGCCTCGATTGAACTAAATAAGTTGTATTGCAAAAATATAAGTAAACAGTATGTATTTTTAACTAGGCTACTATTACTTAGTGGATATAGAACTGTGGGATAGCCTCAAACTACCAGCGTAAGGAAAAAAGCTCACAGGGATACATCCTAGCCATCTATTGTTGCCGCGAAGTGTTTGAAGAGTTTGATTGTTGTCATACAAATTTATAGAATTTACTGGCAAAGTAGGTGGCAGAATTTATTTATGGACTTGATAATCGGGTGGGATATGAGATGATCGCCAATCTATGAAATAGAAAGAAAGCGTGTAATACTATTTTCAGTCATCTATGAATAATAACGTCCCTTACAGCAAGTAATCTCAAAGACTAGGATATTATAATTAACTTCTAGCAATACGTATTCATTGTTCCATTTTGCGGCCAGAATATTTGGATAATGATATTACCCACGAAACTATAGTACATTCCCTGAATAAGAAATAGAGGTTAGGACGTGGTCATTAACATCTGTCCTCTTCTTAATTTAACGCTAATGAAATCAAATGAGTATTCCTCGGCTTATCTTTGTAGGTATAATGTAATTCATACTGTATACTATAAATAGCTCATTCCTACTAACCTTTTAATATACTTTTTGGTGGTACTTTTAATCAATTTGATTTAATTGTTTGATTTATTAGCTTAATCAAACCCATTGTAGATGTATCTACTTGCTTCATTCTTTAAATATAAGTTAATAAGCTTAGTAAAACTCCTCGACAATTACGGAAGTATTTACAGAAATTTAAAATTACATTAATGTTCTAAATTCTGTCATAAATTTAACTTGTATTTTATGTGTTTAGTACTTTTTCATTTCTTATTAGAACTTCTTGGTAATTAAATTTTGGCTGCTAATAGATGTGAAGAAACCATTTTCTGATTAGTAAATAGAGTGCATGTTTAAAAAAAGACGGCTTTTGGTATTCGTGTCAGAAAAGAAAGGGAGAAGCTTTGATTTTGAGTTAGATAGCAAATTTATTGTTAGAGCCTAAGTCGTGTAAAATTATAGTTTTTAATGAAGATCAGTGTCTGAGTCTGATCGGTGTTGAATATTATAACTTTTTTCTTGCTGTTCATGTTCTATATATATATACCTGCTGTTATCGTTATTCACGGACCTCAGTGGGGCCATTGGCAAGCCGTTTACTAACACTGACAACACATTCTAAGCTTGATTCTGGTGGTAGGACCCCTTGTGAGTCCGCACGGGTAGGACCACCACCCTGCTTATTTCTGCCGTGAAGCAGTTATGCGTTTCGGCTTGAAGGGTGGGGCAGCCGTTGTAACTTTGCTGAGACCTTAGAACTTACATCTCAAGGTGGGTTGGCGCATTTACGTTGTAAATGTCTATGGGCTCCAGTAACCACTTAACACCAGGTGGGCTAAGAGCTCGTCCACACATCTAAGAAATAAAAACAAATTCTCTCTCTCTCTCTCTCTCTCTCTCATAGTGAAAAGTGGCATGGCGTTTCATTTAGTGGTTCAATCTTCGTGATTTTTACCGACTGTTTGCTGTCTAGATAAGAAGCTCCAATAAACCGACAG